AAAAGTAAGTCAAGGACCTCTGTGTAATACTGCTCCGATTCCAACTGGGAAACACTTACTAAGTAGGACTAAACCGTGCCTACAGAGAATAAAAATTAGGTCAGTTAAGTTCAACAGAGCATATTTCCAAAGAAAAGTAGTATCAGTGAAGCATGAAGCAAGGAGAGGCATGGGGGAAGGAAGGCACACAGAGTGAAAACAAAAAATGTTTAATGAAAAATTAAGCAACATCCAAGGGTAACGCAAGATTTCATGTTGCAAATGCATTAGAATACAGAAACCCCAGTACAAGAAAAGGAGTATATTGAGATAAAGACGTAAACAAGAGATTCATCTTAAACAGAAAGATTATCTGGATTTGAACGCAAAATGCACTACCCGTTAGTGTATCCTACTAGAACTCCAATAAACTTGTTTTAGGACCTGCAGTTCTGCATGTCTCAACCCTTTGACCAAGTCTAGGAATGTAGAGTTTCAACACACAACCCACCTTGGCCAAGACATACTCTGAGTGATAACCTCGTTTAATTCACCCTCTCCAAGCCCAAACTACCAAACAGGACTGTTAAGTGGGTAAAGGTGAAGAAAGAGAATTAAAAAAAAACCCAATGAGCTCTGTAAAAGGAAGTACAGTGTGTGTGTGTGTGTGTGTGAGTGAGAGAGAGAGAGAGAGAGAGAGAGAGAGAGAGAGAGCGCTTTCCTTCCTGGTCATCAGCACACAATTTCTGACTTACAATTGACTAGAAGTGTGCCTATTTACAAGCCAGATCATCTCTCATCATTCCCACTAATTCTTCAAAGATACCAGAGCAACTCTAAGCAGAAGAACACAACTATAAATGCCCACTTAATGCACCCAGAAGCAGACTTAGGAAAACACAAGTCCTGCTTCACATGCCTGATAGAGTATGTTTTATCTTCCCTCTAGATCAGGCATCCCCAAACTCGGCCCTCCATATGTTTAGGGACTACAATTCCCTTCATCCCTGACCACTGGTCCTGTTAGCTAGGGATGATGGGAGTAGTAGTCCCAAAGCAGCTGGAGGGCCGAGTTTGGGGATGCCTGCTCTAGATGAATGGAGTACAGCCAACTTTAAATTAAATTACAATGATAAATAACAAGCATAGGGCACATTTTCCTCATTTTATCCTATAATGATCTTGATGACAGCAGAGATGTACTTACTTCTGAGTAAACATGCATAGGATTGCATTGTTAGTTCTACAAATTGAAAACTTATTAAAAATGGGGAACCAGGAATTGTTCTCAATGAACAGAATTCAACTAAGTTGCTACATGCACTTAATGAGATCTTCAAACACAACAGGACTCCTCACACATCCCCTAAATCTGCTCTGGGGGTGGGAATGAGAGGGGGAAAGTTTTGCCACAGGAGTGGACCACATTCCACGCACACATACCCAATTAGCACTACGCTAAATTCCTGAATGAGGGAAATTTGCTTTGCACAAGCAAAAGTCTGCTGTGCTGCTGGAAAAGCAGCATTGGATATAACCCCAAGTTCTGTTAACTACATTGTTCTCAATGAAACAATGTCAGTATAAGAAGCTTCAAATGTACCTGCAAAATTATTCCCATGATAGCAGCTTGGATCACGGTGTAGCTATTTTGAGCGCAAGGGAGCTGGCATTTTTTGAAAGGCACACCTATCCACCAAAAGAAGGTCAACCAAACCAATTGCACAAAAATCATAAATGAATGGGGAAGAGAGTTTGGATAAAAGATAGAACAGCTTATTACACTATTTCCCACACTGGCCTTTTAAAAAGAGCATTCCAAAAATAACAGGGAAGAGAGGCAAGGAACAATGACCTCAGGGTGTGGGGTGTGGAGAGATAAATCAGGACAAAAATAAGGGAAGTTAAAACTGAGTGTCCCCCGGCCTCTAGATAAACCTGTCTAGATGGGGGAGCAGATACTAGAAGGTCCAGCTATTGAGGATTCCCATCCCTGAGCAGTAAGGTCACAGAACTCAAGAAAGGCTTACATTTTACAGTCCCTATTGGAAACCATATAGCTAAAGCATGTTTGTCCAGAAGAGTTCCACTGAGCTCAATCGGACCTACATCCCAGCAGAAAAGATATGGAATTTACCAGCAGATGTTCTCCTAGACCTGAATAAAAAAGGCAACATGTATGAAAAGTGTATATATGTATAAATTACATTCCATATTTAATAGGTAAAAGCTGAGTTAGGATCCTTTACTACTCACACATGTATATGAGCTGATATCTCACAGCTTGTGAGTTGATATATCAGAAGTCAGATACATGGCTGAGTTTCAGAGAACTGGAGGAAGGGGGAAGATACTTCAATATCCTAGCTCCTGCCATGACTATGAAATCTAGAGTAAATTACATCAAAATAGCCCCAAATGCAGATTGATATTTTGCAAAAAAACAAAAAAAACACACCATGCCGATGTATATAGTTCATAGAATTCAGCTTCTCTTGACAATGCAATTACCTGGAAGGTTTTTTTAAAAGTATGATGTACATACAGCCCTGATAATAGTCTGCCACTGATTCCCATTCCCTTCACATTATCACCCTGATAACCCCATGCCTACAAACCTTCTGACTTTTCTTATTCTCAAATCTTTATTGTTTTCCTTAATCCCCCACACACACACCTGATACCTCACATCAATTAAAACACATTGTTTCCAGGTTCTCATCCTTTGTGTACTGATTACTGGTTTTACACCACGCCCTTCCTTGAAAAGCTGAGAGAGGCTCATGTATGGTTCTCAGCTCATCACCAAGACAGGCAGATGAAACAAGGAGGCCCTGCTCAGTTTTAGCAGCAGAACCATATCATGTCTCTAAACCATTATCTGGATAGTTCCTTAAACCCTCTAGCTTGCCTTGCATTATCACCTCTCACCATTCAACCCAAATAATAAATTCAGTAGTACAGAGTGCACCAGGATTTGGATAGTGTATATGTCTGTGTTCACAATCAATCTCAACTGAACTGACAAGGTAGTTCCCTGGTTTGTAAAAAAGCAGCATGGTGGCCTACTTTTCTGGGTTGTTGTGAGGACAACACACTTTATGTAGGGTCAGCATACATGAGGCCAGACCAATTCCGAAAACAGTGGGAGTTTCAATATTTCCTCAAATCTATATGGTTAAGAACTTTTCTGATTTGTTTGTAATGTTTGATGTTTTGTTATATTTTTATATGTGCTGTAGGCCACCCAGAGATGTGCAGGATATACATAATAAAATTTACTATTATTATTATTATTATTATTATTATTAAGATGACATCAAAATTGCTTTCTTGGATCACACCACTTCCCACAGCAGTCAGCCAGAAAACCCTGGGAAGAAGCTTCACAACGAAGGCACAACCCTGTTCCACTAGTCCCTCGTTATCAGTTTCCTTGTTTATTTCTTCCGTATTACACATTCGACTAATTCCAAAGGGGCTAGTCTGTTCCAGCTAGGAGCGCGCGCGAGGGCGCGCACACACACACAGAGATATGGCACCAAAAATAAAGCTTTAAGCTGCCACGAACCGGCCAGTCTCTTAAGGGGCCACAGGCCACCTTTCCCCTTCTTTGCATTTGCAACTCGAGTAGCAAAAGAAGAGAACCGAGCCGGTGCTCTGTGGAAGCGTCACGTGCTCTCCCGGCCCCGGGTCTCACGCCCAAGGCGTGACCTTCGCCTGGAAGCCGGGCGCGAGGGGGAGACCCGCCGAGGGGTCGCGAAGCGCCTTTTGCGCGCCACCCCACCGCAAACCATGAGGGAAATACGTGGAACTGCTGCTAGTCATAACATGAGCAGCAAGAAGCGGCGACGTCCATTCCCGCCCAGACACTGCAGGGCAAACCCAACCTCCCCTCAGAATAATCCTAAAACGAAAGCCAGCCCCAATGGGCGCCTCCACGCCCAGCCCCCCTCGCAAGGGGCCATGAAGGGCGACCCCCTCCCTGGGCTGGGCGGACGCGGAGGAGGTCACCCTGGCGCAGGCCCCGCCCGCCCGCTCGCCTCACCTGCGTCCCGACCACCACGATCTGCGGCAGCTGGATGACATCGGCGCCCACCGTGTTGAAGACGTCCTGCAGCTTGTTGATGACCGGGATCAGCGCCTCCATGGCGGCGGAGGCGGCCGCTCCGGAGGAGGCCGGAGGGAGAGGCAGGCGACGGCAATGAATGGAGGAGGGAGGCGGCGAGGAAGGGCGCTCGCGTTGCCACCTTCCCCCGCGCCGCCGCGGCCGACGACGACCATTGGCGCCGGCCCGCTCTCTCCCAGAGGCCTCTGCGCGCGCGCCGCCGCCGCAGGGCACGGCGGGAGTTGTAGTGCTCGGGACGCCCCGCAGCGGGCGCTTGGACGAACAGGGAGGGGCGCGTTCTGCTGCAGAACGCGGAGAGATGCCCCCCTATTCCCGAGGGACACGTGTCTCCCTCAAGCGGAACTTGAGCACGTGAGGACGTTGTCCTACGCAGCTGGCCGGCCCGCTAGAGCATATTTTCTGAATATGCTCCCGGGGTGGGAGAAAAGTGCATGGAAATGAAATAGATATGCCCTCCCCTGGCCTCCCCAATTCATTTCCCCCGCCCCCATCGTGGAAGACAAAGCTGCCCAGATATATCGTTGGAGAAATGCAACATTTTGAAGGTAGCTGTTTAAAATGAGGCCAGGTGAGGCAACCATCTCTAGAGGACAATTTAAATATAGAAGAGCTGTTATAAGAATTTTAAGGTCTTAGGTATATAATAAATGTTCATAAATATACCAAGCAAACACGTACATAAATATATAAACCACATGTCCGGAATAGCACAGGAATACAGTCCTGAAACCATTTTGATTCCCAAACTGACCAAATGTTTCTCTGCAAGGAGGGAGAGGGTGAGGGAACCTTCCCATTGTCTCAGGAATTAAGTGATTACCATCTATGATGTAGGTATGATGTTTCTGGGGTGGTCTTGAGCTCCAGGGCAGGGAATTTCAAAATGTCTATATAAGGGGAGGCACACCTTTGTTCTGGGTCCTCCTCCTGTCCTGCGTGTGAGGGGAGCACCCTGTTGCAACAGTTTAATGAAGATCAGACTTGCTAGTTGCTTTGCTTCTTAATATTCTCTGGTTGGCCTCTGTTATTTTCTCCACCGATGGAGAAAATACAAAGGACTCTATAAGGGCTCTTGCGTACCCCGTAAGGAAACAAGACCAGATTTTGTTCACAACAGAGCATTTCCCTATTGTTTGTCTCTACCATCTGGAATTCAGAGAGAGTCCCATTTCTGTTATAACCGCTTTGTTGTTGTTGTTTAGTCATACTTAGAGCTTATTAAAAATAGATCTCTCTCTCTCTCTCTCTTATTCCCAAGGTTGACTGTTCTGGTCCCATCCCTAAAGCAGATGCTTTCTGGAAAGTCCCCTCTAGTTTCTCAATTATATAATGCACAACGTGTGACTTGACTTTCTTGAGTGAACTGGTGTGCACATGGTGATGGTTTTTTCTCTTTTTTACTTTCCATTTGTGGCACAAATGGCTTTGAGCTGTGGTTGCTGGGTTTCATGTATGGATGATATTGACTAATGAAAGGAGATTTCTAAATTAATGTCGATGGGGAGTACGGGGGGGGTGTGAGTGAGCAGTGGTGTAGCGTGGGGGGCACCACAGGGGCACTTGCCCCAGGTGCAAAATACCGGTGCTGCCTCCATGCAGCTGCGTGTTTCTATCTCTGGGCTCCATTGAAAATGGCTTCCCCATGCAAACCAGGAAGTGACCTCTCCAGACAATGGAACGCTTCTTTTCCTGATTCTGCAGCTGCAATCTGCTGGGTGACATGATTGTGTGTGTGTACTCTGTCCGGTTGCCTCCCTCTGTGTGGCCCTGGCCACTGGCAACCCACGCTATGCCAATGAGACTGAGTGAGTGTTGGGTGGATGGAGTGAGATTGTGCGAATGGAAGTAGAGGAAGAGAGAAAGACTGGATGGATGTGCATGTGAATAAGTGTGGGAGAAGGGAGTGAGGGGGCTGAGCCTTATTAGATGTTGGACAAGCCTTTTTAAAGTTTTAATATGTACGTAAACATTCATTCTTGCCCATCCATTGTGGGTGGGACAGAATGGGCAATCCACATACAGCGGACACATAAAATCTTATATGCCCAGACAGCAAAAACTCGTGTTTGTTTTTTCCCCTTCTAAAAATTTATCTAAACTTGCATCTTTACATATAAATTAGCACCTGCAAAACATATGCAGATTGGTGTCATGGCCGGGGGGAGGGGAAATTTTGATTAAATTTGCACGGATAGTTGAACCTACCTAATAGTGCTTCCCAAAATAATTTTCAAAGCAAAATGCAGTCCTTCAAAATGTATACTTCTGTGAATTTGGTAGTGCAGTTCTCTAGCCAAGTGAAGTGTAAAAAAATGCATATACAGAAATGCACACATTAGTAAACATATTTTTATTATTACATTATTATGGCATAATATTGTAACATTATTATTAATAATAATGAAATAATAATACACAAATGCTTTATATTAAGGAAGACTGGAGACAAACAAGTGTGTATTGGGATAAATTTGCACTGTAATACTGATGAATTGAATTTATTGAATTTTCATGAGGACTTTAAAAAAAGAACATTCACAAACTAATTAGAGATGTAGAGAACTGAACTGAATACTGGAAAAATAAGAAATAAGTGTTCCATATATGTATGAGGAACCAACTTTCGGAACAGTGTTTGGTTCTGTGTAAGTAAGTGTGTGTGTTTGCGTATGTTAAGGAATTAAGGGAACCCTACAAGCAGGGTTGCTCGATGATATGCAATCTGAAAAGGCCTGGTTTGTTGCTGTCAAGATACCCCTTGGTTGGGGCTCCGAAAGAGATTGTTTGCAAAATGCTTTTAGGTTTCGATTTCTGGCAAGAAGGAAACAACACTGGTGGAACCAGGGATTTTCACCAAGCTGGGTTGAAGAAGGAGCTGAACAGTGGCAACAGCAGTGGCATTCTTGTCTAGAAGAACTAAACGGGGACAGGTATGGTGTGTGATGATGAGGGGGAAATAGAGGGGGGTAGAAGCGTCTCGCTTCGGGGAGAAGCAGAGTTACGGAGATCTGTTTAGCTCAGTTCTTTGTGAGCACAAGTTTCGTCTCCCACTAAAGATGATGGCGTTGAATAGAAAAGTCAGGACGCTTCACAGCATTATAAATGTTTATAAATATATATATAAATAACATGGCATTCAGTATTAAAATACCTTCTATGGTAAATGGGAACCTAGAAGTCCAGCTTTTAGGGAACCCACGGAAGTCCCAAATTAAAAGTTTATTTGGCATCTGTTTTGTTCTGTGTGCTTAGAGGTGCCCACATCTTGGGGGGTGAGCTTCAGTTGTGTCTCCAGACCTACTTAAATCTCCTGGCTGCTACATCCTCCTAGATGCCCTGGGCTGGATTCAACTACCCGGTTCAAGAAAAACACGGCTTTCTTCCCCTTTTCTTTCTGCCCATCTTTTCCAACATACTCTTCAATGTTTCCAAGCTTTACACTTTCCGGTCTCTTTATCTGCATACCTACCGTAAATTTAAAGCGCCCCTCCCCCCCCCAGAAATAATAATACTAGGAACTGTAGTTTGTTAAGGGTGCTGGAATTGTAGCACTGTATGGGGTGAACTGCAGTTCCCAGGGTTCTTTGCAGTGGAGGGTGTGCTTTAAATGTATGTTGTGTAACAGTCAACGATGAGGCTGGGAGGGGTAAACAGAGATTGTGTTTGAATCTCTTTGCTGTGTGAACTTGACGTGAACTTGATGTGGAGTCCTCCTGATAGCCATAGAGTTTCCAGCCAGAAAAGTCTTGTCAGCAAGTTATGGAAGGAGTAACTTGTGTCTGAGAGCTATGCTGAATTGACTTGACTCTTGGTCTTCCAAGTTTTTCCATAGACCAGCCCTCAAAACTGTGGCCACATGGAACTTCGGGATTATCAGTGGGAAGTCATTGATCCTGCCTTGGAGGGCAAAAATATCATAATTTGGCTGCCAACGGGTTCCGGAAAGACTCGGGCAGCTGTGTATGTGTGTAAGAGGCACATGGAGAGCGTACAGAAGAGCAAGGTGGCTGTGTTAGTCAACACGGTAAGGACCAGGTGATGTGGGTGGTTGGGAGACAGACAGTCCCTTACCAAAAGACAAGGTTTCAGTCTCATTTCCAGGAAAATGTTGCACTGCTGTACTCTTGCCCTGGCAGGTGCCTCTAGTGGACCAACACCTGAAGAATGAGTTTAGCGTCTTGCAGAATTGCTTCAACATTACAGCCATCAGTGGCGACAGCAACCAGAAGCTGTTCTTCTCAGAAGTGTTGAAGATGAGTGACTTAATAATCTGCACAGCACAGATCCTTCAAAATGCCCTTATCAGCCAAGAGGAGGAGATGCACGTGGACCTGACAGGTGAGCATCTGGTGGGAAAGAGGTGTTATAAGAGCTTGCTGGGCCAAACCAGTGACCCATCTAGTGCAGCATCTTGTTCTCTCAATGGCCCACCAGATGCCTATGGGAAGCCTGGAAGCAGGTCCTGAGCACAAGAGCTCTCTCCCATCCTGCACTTGGTATTCAGAAGCATACTGATTCTGACAGTAGAGGTAGAACATAGCCATCAGGGTTAGTAGCCATTGATAGCCTTGTCCTACATGAATTTGTCTAATCCTATTTTAATGTGCTCCCAGTTGATGGCCATAACTTCCTCTTGTGGGATGAACATAAGAGCCCAGCTGGATCAGATCAAAGCCCTACCTAGTCCAGCATCCTTTTCTCCACAGTGGCCAGCCAGTTGCTTCTGGAATGCCCACAAGGAGGACAGGAAGGAAACGCTGCTCCTCCACTGCTGGGTCATAATTCTGGGGCAACAAGCCTCATATAACCAACAAGCTTAAGTCTAATTAATGCGTGAAGGGGTTAATACCATGGAGTACGCTGTCCTGCCAAGTTTAGCTATGACACTTGCTTTACCTGGGGAGGAAATAGGTAATCAAGCCTATTGTCTCCACACCCCTGAGAAGCTCAGCATGTGAAGAGATCTGAACTGGTCATCAGCCATTCTCAAGTTCCTATGCCAGGAACTTTCACCACTTTGTAACTAAGATAAGTTTTACTGCTTGCGCAATTTTCTGAAGCCCATGAATCTGACCTCTGAAGTGTTCATAAATAAACCCTTTTTAACTTGTCACGTGTGGAGGTTTTTTTCCTATGCTGGAGGAAGAGACAAAATTTGGAAATGAACTTTTTAATGAGATATTAAAGATCTAACAGCCTGTATTTCCATACTTTGCTGTATATTTTGTGACTTTAAATCTCTGCTGGGAGTCTATCACCAAAGAGAACTTGCCCCAAACTTGGGTCTTGCCATCCAGGAATTCTTTCTCTACTTGGGGGTGTTTTGTTGTTTTGTTTGTTTGTCTTTTACCAACAAAAACTGCATCATAAATAATCCAGGAGTTGGTCACTGCCTCTCATTATCTGAGAGTGTAGTGTGGTGGTTAGTGAGTTAGACTAAGGTAAAGGTAAAGGTACCCCTGCCCGTACGGGCCAGTTGTGACCGACTCTAGGGTTGTACGCTCATCTCACTTAAGAGGCCGGGAGCCGGCGCCGTCCGAAGACACTTCCGGGTCACGTGGCAAGCGTGACGAAGCTGCACTGGCGAGCCAGCACCAGCGCCGCACACGGAAACGGCGTTTACCTTCCCGCTATAAAGCGGTACCTATTTATCTTCTTGCACTTTTGACGTGCTTTTGAACTGCTAGGTGGGCAGGAGCAGGGACCGAGCAACGGGAGCGCACCCCGCCGTGGGGATTCGAACCGCCGACCGTGCGATCGGCAAGTCCTAGGCACTGAGGTTTTACCCACAGCGCCACCCGTGTCCCTATAGTGAGTTAGACTAGGGCCTGGGAAACTAGGGTTCAAGTCCCCGCTCAGTGGGAACTGGGTGACTTTGGGCCAGTCACTGCTTCTCAGCCTAACCTACCTCACAAGGTTGTTGTGAGAATAAAAGGAGGAGTGGGGAGAGAACTGTTGGAGGAAAGGTGGGATATAAATGTCGTCGTCGTCATCATCTGTGCAGATTTCACCTTGTTGGTGATTGACGAGTGCCATCACACCCACAAAGGAACCGCCTACAACAAGATAATGGAGGGCTACCTCGAACGAAAGCTGAAGGGCGAAAAGAATTTACCACAGATCCTGGGGCTTACAGCCTCGCTAGGTACGGGTGGTGCCACCTCCCTGGAGGGAGCTCGGGAACACATTCTGCAGGTGAGTCCGATGGAAGACATTTGGCCCAAATTTTGGAAGCATTGTCATTGTTGCTCTCCCCCTTTTTAACCTTATTTCTATTCAGAGACTGCTTTGGTCTGCAGCTGCAGGCCCGTTTCACACAAACACTAAATACATAGAAGGAGCATAGCTCATGTTAGAGTATTAAATCCCTGGCATCTGCAAGAGTCTTGTACAACAGGTGATGGGAAGGAGCTCTCTGCCTTGGACCCTTAAAACTGGCTCCAGTCAGAGAAGGCAATACTACTTGGGGAGATTGACAAATAATCTCACCTGGTATAAGGTATCTTGCAATGCTCCAGATGAGGTGGTAGCATATAGTACTGTTTCAACTGCAAGTGAGGGAATGCTCCACAAACACACACAGCTGCAGCATATTAAGGAGTAAACCTTTTGCAGATACTTGACATGTCTGCAAGTGACAAAGGCATACTTGGGTTCCTCACCCGTTTTCTTCCACTTTATCACTTGTAGTCAACTCCTACTGGTGTTTTAAGGGCTATAGGTCTGATCGTGGATTTAGCTGATGTCTCAAGCGCTCACGTGATTGACATAACCACTCCCTACAATTTGTTCTTGGAGCCAGTATAGCCTAGTAGCTAGGGCATTGAGCTAGCACCCGCGAGACCCAAGGTTCAAACCCCACTCAGCCATGAAGCTCACTGGGTGACCTTGGGCCAGTCACAGTCTCCCATCTCAGTCTAATCTACCTCACAGAGTAGCTGCCAGGATCAAATGGGGAGGGGGACAGCCATGGAAGAAGAGCTCCTTGGAAGAAAAGTGGGATATAAATGTAATAATAAATGACATATATATAACCCTTTCCAGATCTGTGCCAACCTGGACACCGAGAGAATCATGTCTTCTGATAAACACAAGTTCTACGTTGATACTTACGGCCCACAACCCAAGAAGCAGTATAACCTGTCCCAACAAAGGCCTGAGGTAAGGTCCTCTTGCAACTACAGGGCAACTGTGAAGAGGCACCAGAGGCACCATGATGAGAAGGTGACTCTGGAGCTCTGAGCAAAGTAAAACATGCCCATAGGATTTTGTTTTCCTTGTCTGAATACGAACGCTGCCCTGATCTGTCATCTTCAGGACCCCTTTGCAGAACAACTGATGGAGATAATGGCACAGATATATAGTTACCTGAATGAGCCTGACTTGACTATGGATTTTGGTACCCAGATCTTCGAGCAGCAAATTGTGGTGCTTGAGAAGGAAGGTGAGTGCTCAATAAGCGGCTTTGTAGTGCACAAATATGACGGGAGGGACAGGAAACATGTCCACAGGCAGGTTAAGTGGCTTCCTCCCTGGAAATGGCTCCCAGTATGTTTCCGAGCTGACCTTTAAGGTCCTTAATGGCCTCAGTCCTGTACACCTGAAGGAGCGTCTCCACCCCCATCGTTCAGCCTGGACACTGAAGTTCAGCACCGAGGGCCTTCTGGTGGTTCCCTCACTGTGAGAAGTGAAGTTATAGGGAACCAGGCAGAGGGCCTGCTCAGTAGTGGCACCTGCCCTGTGGAACGCCCTCACATCAGATGTCAAGGAAATAAGCAGCTATCTTTTAAAAGACATCTGAAGGCAGCCCTTTTTAGGGAAGTTTTTAATGTTTAATGCTGTATTGTGTTTTTAACATTCGGTTGGGAGCCGCGCAGAGTGGCTGGGGAAACCCAGCCAGATGGGCGGGGTATAGATATTATTATTATTATTATTATTATTATTATTATTATACCTGCATCCTAAGATATTTTTATGGAAAGTTTCAGAGATTGAATATAGGGTCTGTTACAAATGAACTATAGAACTGTAGAGGTGAAAGAGAGTCCAAGGGTCATCTAGTCCAACCCTCTGCAATGCAGGAATCCCCCCCCCCCCGTAAGGTTTACCTGGTGTGTTATTTATAGTCTTTCCATTGACAGCTGAAAGCCTTTTTATTCACCCAGGCTTTTAACGGCATTATAAATCGGGGGTGTTTACCTGGTGTGTTATTTATAGTCTTTCCATTGACAGCTGAAAGCCTTTTTATTCACCCAGGCTTTTTAACGGCATTATAAATCGGGGGTGTAAACTATTTCATGCTGCTTTTTTGCAAATAGGGTTTTAGCCATCTTTTATTGTTGTTGTTTTTTTAACTATCATTGCATATTGCTTTCATTGATAATTCTGTTGTAAGCCACTCAGGGAAAGTTGGTTGATGGGCAGGTATATGATTAATCATAACCATTATCTTATTTGTCTCTTTCACACTGTCAGGAGCAAAACGCTTTTGCCAAAAGACCCGAGTGTGTGCCTTGCACCTACGTAAATACAACGATGCCCTGATGGTCAACGACACTGTGCGCATGATCGATGCCTACAAAATTCTGGATGAGTTTTACCTGCTGGAAAATGCTACTAAGGTGTTGCAGAACCCTGCTGAGCAGTACTTGGTCCGGCTCTTTGACAGTAAGTGTTGGCAGAGGAGGTACACTGAGAAATTTGATTCACAGAAACACCACCACTTTGTTCTGCTTGCATTTTAATGTGAAACTACCTAATTTGAACTTCTCAAGCCAATACACAAGCTAAAGCAAAGATATCCTTCAAAATTCACACTTCTCTGAATTTTGCAACTCAGTTCTCCAACCAATGTGTGCAGAAATGCATATATTGAGGAAAGTGTGTACCAAAATGCATATATTAGTGAAAATTATGTACAATAATGTATTATATTAGGGGTTTTTTTGTTTGTTTGTTTTGCAAAAACGTGTATATTAGTCAAAACTGCATACAAAAGGTGTTTATTAGGAGAAATTCACACTAAAATGTTTATGAATGAGACCTTGTTAAAAGAAAATGCAGATTGCTGCAGAACTACAGTGGTACCTCGGGTTAAGCACTTAATTAGTTGCGGAGGTCCGTTCTTAACCTGAAACTGTTCTTAACCTGAAGCACCACTTTAGCTAATGGGGCCTCCTGCTGTCGCCGGAGCACGATTTCTGTTCTCATCCTGAAGCAAAGTTCTTAACCTGAGGTAATATTTCTGGGTTAACGGAGTCTGTAACCTGAAGTGTATGTAACCTGAAGCGTATGTAACCTGAGGTACCACTGTAAAGAAAACTGAATCAAAGACTGAAAAACTGAGAAATGGAGAGAAACCAAAACTGACTGATTGGTCCATTCCTTCTCTGAAATGAGGTGGGTGAGTTGGCCAAGAGAAGAGTCCATATAAACAGAGGCCAGGAACAAGTTCCCAGTTCCATGTGATCAGCTAGGTCAGCACTTAAAACTACCGCTTGAAGAGAGACTCTTGAAGAAAGAGGAAGAAAAAGAACTATATAGAAGTGGAAAGATGAAACTTCAGAAAAAAGAGGAGGAGGTGCTGCCCAGCAGACATGTGCTTTGGAGAGGCTTGGTTGGATGCAGCACATCCAGGAATGACTTCTTTGGGGATCAGCAGGCAGACGGCAACTGGATATGTGGTTCATTTTCCCCCAAACACCTCCAAAAAATATAACATGGCATTCAGTGCTGCTGACAAAGTGAACTATGCCACTTGGCACCAAGCAAAGATGGAGCGAGATCTCAGCAGTAAGAAGATCTACCAGGAAGAAGAGATGACGGAGTCCGGAGCTGGCAGCAAGTTCAACTGCAACCCTCATGAGGAGGCACAGCACAAAAAATATGGCATCACCTTAAAGGAGTTCAAGCTTGAAAACCAGCCCTGGATCCTGAAAGTCATGGGCAAGACTGGGTGCAAGTTCAAAGGTGTGAAAAAGGGTGGGGTGATAGAAAACACCTCCTACTACATCTTCACTCAGGGTCCAGGTGGTGCCTTTGAAGCCTTCCCAGTCACCAACTGGCAGAACCTCACACCCATTGCCAAGCATCGCACGTTGACTGCAGAGGAAGCTGAGGAGGAGTGGGAGAGGCAGAACAAGGTTCTGAACCACTTTAGCATCATGCAGCAGCAGCGGCTGAAAGACCAAGGTGATGAAGAAGAGGAGCAGAAGAAGAAAGACCAAAAAAAAAAAAGGGGGAGCTACCCAAAAAATCCATGACTTGGAAGATGAGCTGGAGATGAACTTGGATGACAGCGAGTTCAGCGATGTGGATGAGAAGAAATACACCAAGCCCAAGAAGCCCCTCTGGCGAAGAAAAAGAAGAAGGGATCTGACGATGAAGCCTTTGAAGACAGTGATGATGGGGACTTTGAAGGGCAAGAGGTTGACTACATGTCTGGTGGACCCAGCAGCTCTGGAAGAAGCAGTGGGCAAGCCCAAAGTGACCAAAGAGGAAGACATCCCAAAAGGTATAGACGAAGCAAGCGAGAGTAGTGAACACAGCAAGGAGGAGAAGCCTGTGGAGGAGGAGGAGAGAAGAAGGCCCCGACTCCCCAGGATAAAAAGAAAAAGAAAGACACCAGTGATGAGTCTGAGACGTCTGAGGACAGCGACATTGACAATGAAGCATCTTTCACACTCTTCATGATGAAAAAGAAATCTCCTCCCAAGAAAGAACACAAGGGCTTTGCTAGCAACTCACAAGGGGACGCCCTTGGATGCTGGCACGTCATCCACCTTGCGGGCCACAGCTAACAAAGTGGAGCAAGGAAAGCAACAGGCAGGGTCCAGTGAGCTCACTGCAGCAAAGAGGCTGAAGTTGGACACTGGGCCCCAGGCCTCACCATCTCTGGGAAATCTACCCCCAGCCACAGTCGGGCAAGTCAGCAGTGTTGATGTGCAGCTGACGGAGGATGCCGTGTGCCACTCCTTGACCAGAGGGCCCATGCCCACAAAGGATTTGCTGAAGAAACTGCAGACCAAGAAAACGCGGCTGAGCAGTGAGCAGATGGCCAATGCGCTGGCCCAGATCCTGAAGTGCCTCAATCCCGAGTGCAAGAACATCGATGACAAGATGCACTTCTTCCTCAAGGAATGTGGAGGGCAGAAGCTGGGCCAGATACAAACTGTCCTTTGGCATCCACCGTCCTGTTGGGCAGCTCCGAGCCCCCTTACATTTGGTTAGTAGCTGGGGGTGGCTACATCCTAGAACCATGTGGATTGGCATTCATACCCTTTGGGGAAAGCAAAAGAGCCATGTTCCTGCCTTTGTGCTGGTGGGATTCAGGGGCGGTGAAAGGGGGCAGAAGACTGGGACAGTCCCATGAGCGGCATTGAAGCCATGATCTCTCTGAATTGGAATAGTTTTCTCTTTCATGTGGAGGAGTTCACAAATGAAAAGTTGCCATTTTTAGAATAAACAGGGGCATCTTTTTACACGGCCACAAACACCCACCCCACACCCTGTGTGTTCTCAAATGCTGGAAGGCCTTGAGAGGTAAACCATTCTCCGCCGCGACTTGTTTTGCAACCAGTTCCACTCTTCTCCCCTGGCCTCCCTCACCCAAAATCACAGAGACTCTGAGAAAGCCACTACTGGTACACAAGTACTTTTCCTTGTATTTTTTTTCTAAAATTGTGTGTGCTTTGGCAAAGGAAGACACTGCTCAGCCTGAACCTGCCGTGAGTTGCTTCCTCTAGCTGGATGCATAGAGTTGTTTTCAGCCTGCCCTAAAAAAGTTTTTGGGATTTTTTTGGGCAAAGCTTAGGATTCCAAATTTGACAAGAAATGGGAATTAATTAAGCAAATTGGAAAAAGAAAGAAAAAAGAGGAGGAGCTAACGAGTGAAAAGAAACTGTTTATGAGACTGACTGCTCTCCAACAGACACTGTTGCCATATGGTGACCAACATTGTGGAAGGTACAGTGGGCCATTTGAAGTTTCGTGGGTTTTGTTTTTTCACTTACTGTTACATTGTTGATTGGTTGTGTTAACTGTTTTTAATCTGTAATAAGCAATACTCTTCCTAATCATCAGACTCAAGAGCTGAGATCTGTGTGCTGTGCACTTGCCTTGCAGGCTACAAAGCACGCCTCTTGGCCATTGCTCAAGACAAGGGCTTTGAGAATCCCAAACTTGAGGAGCTGCAGAAAGTCCTCCAGAATCAATTCCAAGAACTGGAGAGCTCGCGGGGCATTGTGTTCACCCGGACACGTCAGTGCGCTCATTGCCTTCACCAATGGGTACAGGAGAACCAGAACTTGCGAAAACTCGGGATCAAGGCTGCTGTGTTGACCGGGGCTGGCTTCAGCAGTCAGACAAAACACATGACCCAGGTAACATTAACAGTTCTCCCACAGATCAAGTAAGGGATGTTGGAGACCCTAAGGGGACCTTAGGGTAAATTCATAGTTGTATGCATATTACTCGATTTCTCTTGGGTTGATATATCCTAGAGAAACATGTCAACTGCCTCTATTGAAAGCCATTGTGTTAGAGGTAACACCAGGTGACAAGTTTTGCTTGCGATGGTTGATTCATTCAACTGAGGTTGCAGCTGCCAAGGACTGAATACGCTTGTGTGAACTGACTTCAAGAGAGAGGGCAAAGCAGCCCATTAAAACTAAAAAGAAAAATAGTCTACCAAATGCAAAAGAAGCCCAGTCTTTGGCACGCTCCACAGCTGTCTTGCAGCCACCAAGATTTTCTCTGAGGACAGATCCTGTATAACATAAAAACGGAGCACACAGGTCACCATCATCTGCAGGGTGGGCCTGGCTTCCTCCTAGCTTTGAAGCTGAATTGGCTGGTGTACCGATTATTGAATTAGAACAGTAGGTAGTCTATTAGATTTGTGCTTTTCTCCATGCTTCACATAGACACAAAGTTTTAATTCCAAAATTAGTCCAGGGATATTAGGGGAGGTGCCGGAGAAGCAGATTTATTGACAACATCTATTGGAATATTCTAGAAGAAACTTGTAAATGGCCTTGAACAAGTTGCTAGGCAATGGAAATTTCCCCCAGCAACAGGTGTTTATTCCTTATCAGGGCATGTGATCCACTAACTCTGGGCCAGCGTAAATGAGTATGTGAATGAGCCAGCATTAGATCTCTGGCCAGATGGCTAAAAAGAGAAAAAGATTATGTTTCTTCATTTGTTTTTATTTTATTATTAATGGCCAGTGTAAAGTTTTGTACATAATAAATACCCTGAGAAACAAAACCAAATGGTGTTTATTCCTGTAATGGGAATTTCACTAAGAGATAGTTGGAATGCTGCTGCTGCTGCTGTAAAGAAGTAAAAGATGCAGGAAAACATTTCTGTGTAAAGAACTCTGCTACAGAAAGGAAAGAAAACCCAAGAGTTTTCTTTTTCTTCTCATGACCCAGCCATTCAACAATGTGCACAGCTAGTTTTTGTATCAAAGCTGTAATTTTTTTCCAAATTTAGACCTGGAAAGGGATCATATGCTCAGATAGAATGCAAAGGTGCTTTTAGAGCTACCCAAGCGCTCTAAAAATGTTAGGAGCATCCTTTTGTGCCCTTATTGTCCTGCAAACACACATTTCAAGAGGGCAGTCCCAGTTGCTCTGAAGGCCAACGTTTATGTGATGTTAACCGCTTGCGTTCTGGAGTTGAGGACGCAAGAGAAGCTTCAGCCCAATGCCTCAACAAGCTCCACATCTTTTCACCCTGTCTTGGGTTGTTTCCTCCAGCAACAGCAGAAAGAAGTCATCTATCAGTTCCGCAAAGGGACCCTCAATCTGCTCTTCTCCACCAGCGTGGCTGAAGAGGGGCTGGACATCCCCGAGTGTAATATCGTCGTCCGCTATGGACTGATGACGAACGAGATTGCCATGATGCAGGTCAGTCAGCACTACTCTTGGGGGGAACTTGTTGGAATTCACTCTTGACCTCTACCATGGGGAGCCTTACAGGGCTCAGTATATCCTGGGAGGACATGCTACAGAGGCCCAAACCCTGGTTCTTTTATTCCAGGCCCTGGGTCTCCTGCTTCCTTTTAGTTGCTTTTTTATACTCCTCATCACCGTAAAAAAATCAACCTTTGTTATAGGGCAGCTGGGCACACCACAGAGTGCAGTGCCAATGAGACCCCTGTCATCCACCCTCTTCATTTGTCCATATACATATAAATTCTTGTATGGGAAAATTTATATGGGGGCGGGGGACTATGCCCCAAGTCCTTTAAGTAACCAGCAATTCCCCAATATAATGGCTATCCAGCATCACAGAGGACAATGCGGTTATAATGGGAAATGATGGCTGAGTGGACCACGTGGCTATACCTTGTTTGCCTCTACATAGTTCCATCCTTATTTCAGACATCACAATATAGTGATATATCGTGATGTTTAGCTGGTGATACATCGTGATGTTGAAAGCCAGGTATCGCCCAGCCCTGCCTAAGGGAACAGACAAAAGAGGAGCAGCTGGGCTGGATTTCTAGGGAAGGACGCAAGCACTCTTCTCATTGCCTTTTCAGGCCAGGGGACGTGCCCGTGCCCCGGACAGCACCTGCTGTGTTTTGGCCAAGGCCAACAGCAAGGAAGTCGCCCGTGAGAAGCTCAACGAGACCCTGGAGGTCCTGATGGAGAAAGCGATTGTGTGGGTGCAGCAGCTGCAGCTGCAACAGCCTCAACGAGAATACCGCCTAAAGGTAAAAGGACGTTTTTGGGAAAGGGGGTAGCCGGTGGATGCACAGAGCTGATAGAAGCAGGGTGGAGGAAGCCATTGGTAAAGGAGTAAAACCATGCATTTTTTGGGGGGTGGCCTTTTTTGGAGATGGGGAGAGAATAACACACTTTGAGGCAAGTAATACATGCAGGAAAATCACATGGTTGAGCTCTTCCTGGACTATCTCTTCAGAATGTGGAGGGGGGAGATGCACATCTGAATGCTCCCTCATGTATAAACATTAAAAACAATACCTGGAGAAACCAGTGTAGCTAGAGGGGGTTGTTGCTTTTTGAACTCAAGGCCCACATTCCCTAATTGGGAACCTTCGGAGGGCCATATGCCAGTGAGGGGGATGGGGAGGCTGGGGGCAAAATAGAGCAGACATGACTCTTATTTATCTATACAGTGGTACCTCTGGTTGTGAACGGGATCCGTTCTGGAGGCCCGTTCACAAGATGAATAGAACACAACCGCAGTGGCGCGTCTGCACACGCACAGATTGCGATTTGCCACTTCTGCGCATGCATGATGTCATTTTGTGCATCAGCGCATGCGCAAGAGGCAAAACTTTCCAGTACTTCTGGGTTGCCGCGGGACGCAACCTGAAAAAATGTATCATGAAGCAAACGTAACATGAGGTATGACCGTATATAGCAATTCCATTCCTGGCATACAAAAGTCAGAGGTCAATGCGTGCTCGCTCACACTCACACCCCTTTCTGTTTGGGCAAGCGAGAGACACTACCAGAGTTCAGGGACACTTGGGAGATGCCAGCTGAGGCGGGCGCATGCTCTGCTTTCCCCCACCAGCATATGGGGTGGGGGGGGTGTAGCGGGGGGGGGAGAGCGAGGCTCGGCACATGACTGAGAACAGCTGGCCTTGAGGGTTGAAAACAGTAGGATAAACAAGGCAAGTCAGTAATTTACTTAGAAATTAACTCCTAGAATAGAGGAACAGAATTGTAAGGCTTCTGCAATCACAAGAATTGATCAAAAGAGATCTGGGCTTGCTCCTGTGGGAATACAGGACTCACCAGACCCCCTCAGTGAATGATAGATGGTTAAAGAGCTCTTGAGGGCACAGTGAGCCTAAGCAAAACCCTTATAACTGAAGGGAAAACAGTGAGTCATCTCGCAGACATGTTCCTGCAAAAACATTCAAGTAAGGTCTGGGAAAGGGTGTGGCCTTGGAAAAATCCCAAGGGCTGGCTAGAGAGGGCTGCATTTGGCCCCTGTGCCTGAGTGTCCAACTAGGTCTAAGGGGACCCAGTTTCTAATCCACTCACCCCCATGAAGCTCATTGGGCAGCCTTGGGCTACTCTAACCTACCTCACAGGGTGGTGAGGATAAAAGGGTGGAGGGAACCAAACTCTTTGGAGGTGATAGGGATATAAAACTAGTCCATTAGGGAGAAAGTTAGGTTAGGAACCTTCTCTCCAAAGCTCTGGGCTATCCTTGAACAGGAAGTTGTGCTGTTTCATTTTTAATTAGGGGGCATTCTGAAGTGGTACAGCCCTGCAAGACCTTCAACATCCTGAATATGTAGCTTTGCTGTGGGGAAAAGATGTTATTGCTCATTTAAGGCACACAGAGGGCTATTGCAATTTTCATTTGTGACAGTCCTAGGAAGGGAGGAAATTGCTCCCATTTTGTATAGGGGGAATAGTGGCTAGCCGTTACTTTCTCCAGATCTTTCAGGAACAGTTAAGCTGAAGATGTGAAACATGAAATGGTATTCGTTGGATCATGTTGTGTCTGAATAATTAAGCTATATAACACTGAAAGAAAGTAGGCTAAAACTTAAGCAATGATTTGCTGTGCAGCTATTTTACATTTTCAGTGGGTAGAACAGAAGAAGCATCGATGGGAGTGCATTGGGAGAGGAATGCTCTCCAGCCTTGCAAACCTGAAGAAATGGAGGGTGGTGGGGGGGAGATTCTAGAATGATTTTTTTAGAACCAGATTCTCTGGCTACTTCTCACCTGCAGGCTCTCCCGGCTCAGACCCAATTAGCCAACTCCCTTTGTTCCTCCTAGATTGAAAAGCTTCAGCGTGACACTGTTGTCGGCCGCAGGGTGCGGGATGCTGAACGCGAGCAACAACGCCGCCTGCACGATCCAGACTCTGTGTGCTTCTACTGCATCAACTGCAATGTGGCAGCCTGCTACGCCAGCGACCTGCGCCTAATAGAGAATATGCACCGCATAAACATCAACCCCGACTTCAGGTGAGTAAAGGTAAGAAGACCAGAAGCTTTTAGAATCTCCATTCTGCTTGCCTCATCCGAACAAGAAGCAATAGGGGAAACAACCCAGAGTGTGGTTGTTGCTCTGCCAACTTTGGCTGAGGTTGACCCAACGTTTTTCTAAGTTAGAGCTGGCCCAACCAACTTATGCTTGTTCACAGAATGGAAGGGAAAGGGACTTTGGTCTTCCTCCTCAGTATTTTTGAATAAAAAGAAGGGCCTCAGATGATCCAGGCACAGTTCTAAGAATATGCACAATATATGCCTAGATCATACCAAAAGGCCATCTGTCACCAGATGTTGTTGGACTACAGCTTCCATCATCTCTGACAATTGGCTTTGCTGGGTCTTGTGACTCCAGGAACATCTGGAGTGCCACAGATTGGCCATCCCAGTGGAAGGCACTATGCATGCTGATGGGAAACCATAAATACTGCTGCTGCTGGAGTTGAGGATCAGTCAAGAGCATTGCAATGCAGCAGTAAAGTTTTAGCCTGCAAAGAGCTTTGTACTGTTTCAATGAAACTGAAACAGTAAGAGAATGAGAAGTGCTCTGGGGATGCAAACCTCTTTGAGGTCACTTGTGACAAAAAGTGGTATCTAAACACAGTAAACAATCCAGCATCTTTTTTAACAGCAGCCAAACACAAGCAGGGCATAGATTAGAGCCTTCCCTTTTGTTTCCACCTAGAATTAAATTTTTAAGAGGGATACTGCTACTAAACATATAAATTCAGTTTTGTTATTATGGCTGCTACCTATTCATAGACCTATCTGCCTTGTAGTTGCACAGTCTTTTTTTTTTTTTTAAAGACCTTCTAGGTAGTCAAAAGCCATTTCCTGTAGCAAACTCCATAAAGTGAGGAATGCCTTTTCAAAAAAATAATTGAACCTGTTAGATATGTAAAGTTTTATGTAGTTGTGCATAGGGGTGGGCACCTGGATGGAAGAGCTTTTGTATATGTAATACTTATGGCATGTGGTGCAGTATTTACAACAGAACAAAAAGGAGGCTCTCTGAAAATGACCCTCAAACACATTACCTTTCTACTCAGCAACTGAAATAGGTATCTACAGATTTGTGTATTCAGCTGGTCTCACAAGTAATAAATTAAGTAACCAGTTTGTTGTTGTTCCCTATTTAGTCCATACTACAGAGCATCACATAGCCATGTGATGATTCCTCGCGAGTTTAGGGACTGGAAGCCAGGCAGCTCCATCAGCTGCAGTAACTGTGGGCAGGTAAGTGCAACCAGGGCTTAGGCATTACTACCATAGGGTGCATTTTTCTTAATTCGCCTACTTTTGGGACTTTTTGTTGTATTTGAGGATAAAGAATGTAAGATTTGGGACAAAGGATATGACCAGTCTCATAGCCACTAGATTCATTCTTGTGACAACACCCACCTTCAGCCAGTTTTTAAAACTTCCAAGGTCTGGAAACTCGGACATCTCAGTAAGAGATGCCAGATTCCATATTTGAACATGTAGCCATGTAGATTCCTTGATCTCCCTAAGGTTTAAATGCCTTTCATGGGAATCTGTAATTACGTCTAGGGAGCAGCTACTCTACAGAAGAGCTCTTGGGAGCAAGGGGCGAGGGTGTATGAAGCCTGGCAGTAGGCTACATGTTTCACCATTAATTATGGGTTCTAGCCCCAAGGGAATTGTGCTCACTCTGCCTCCTGCTCTTCACATTACTTCTGTCCAACTGGGCGTGAGGAAACCTGTCGTGTAGCTGAGTCTTCTAACTGGTCCTTGGAGCTAGAATAGAAGGCAGAACATGCATTACAGATCAGTAGGCAAGTGCTAAGAACCCAATCAGCCAAGCTCCAGTAATTAAACCTTTGCAAATATTAGTTGGGCGCAGCTGAAGGTGAAAGATGCAAAAGAGGACAGGTTGCATGACCACCTGCTGGAGTTCCCTCTTCTCCCCAACTGGTCTGTATTTTGAAACTCTACACCTCTAGGCCACCCAGGTAGAACAAAGTTACATACAGTCAAGCTTGCTGAAATCAACTAGCCTCAGGGTGTTTAACTACATTGGCTTGAGGAGCTGGACTACATATCTGAACGGTTGTTTAATAATAATAATAATAATAATAATAATAATAATAATAATAATAATATATTATTTATAGCCCAACAAAATATTAAAATACAGTAATGCATCAAACATTAAAAGCTTCCCTAAACAGGGCTGCCTTCAGATGTCTTCTAAAAGTCTGGTAGATGTTGTTCTCTTTGACATCTGGTGGGAGGGTGTTCCACAGGGCGGGCGCCACTACTGAGAAGGCCCTCTGCCTGGTTCCCTGTAACTTGGCTTCTCGCAGTGAGGGAACCGCCAGAAGGCCCTCGCCGCTGGACCTCAGTGTCCGGGTAGAATAATGGGGGTGGAGACGCTCCTTCAGGTATACTAGACCGAGGCCACTTCATAAATTCAGTATTCTATCAGACAAAACAAAATGCATTCCTTTCTCCCTAGAGATTATTGGCTTGATTATAAAACACTGTAGGGCTCTTTCCTAATCGATTAGTCTTAAAATTCCTAGGTCACAGTTCAGTGAAAATGGTTTTGTGTTTTGTCTACTTTTGGCATGGGCTAACGCTTTCCCCAACTAAGTGGCACCCTTTTGAAACCTGGGTGGGCCTTGCCAATAACCTAACCGACCTGCTTTTTCTCCATACAGGAATGGGGCATGGAAATGATCTACCGGGAAGTCAAACTTCCCATGCTTGCCATCAAGCATTTTGTGGTGGAAACTCCAGACGGCCGAAGGACCTACAAGCAGTGGAGCAAAGTTACCTTTGACATCAAAGAGTTTGACTATTTTGAATACTGTACTACTAATGCCTTGCTGGACAGCTAAGACATGGGGGGAAAGTGAAAAATGAATGAGTGCCCTCTAATATACCCAGTGTTTTGCATCCATAGGACATAATGTCAATACTCATAATGTCAAATCAATGCATAATGCCTTTGGGGAAACACCAGAGGCTGGAAGATGAAAGTTGGGGAAATTCTCAGGAACATTTCATGAAAAAGCACAGGTGATTAGGGTGGGAAGAGAAACTTCACGGCCGCTAACAAGTCTTATCTACCTGAAATGGCTGTCTTAAAACAAGAGGCTGGTCAGGGGAAATGCCTTATATGAGTGATGTCAAACTTGCAATTACAATATATATTTTAGAGAGGGCTAGATTCTATGAAGGAAGTGTGTCTGTCTGTAGGATGTGTTTGTGTGTCTCGCTGTAAAATATTCCACATCCCTTATGCAGTCTGGTGTATAGTCTCACTCTATCAACTACTGCTTGGGTGTTTTTTTAATTGGATCTTGCAGGGGCTGATCTATAACCTGGAAGCCCACTAGATTTGTAATTCTACTATGATATAGTCTATAAAATAAACAATATTAACCTACACTATGTAGAACGTGTCATTTTATTCCCCTATCTATTCCTTAAGTGTGTCATCCTTGCTTTATAAATCACCTGCATTTAATTCCTCAACGTTAGCAACAAGACTGACCACACTGGTGATGACAAAAGAATTTTAAGCCTAGTATGACTACACAGAGAAATGCACAAGAGCACTGAAATCACAGAGAATAATTACTGATTTAATGATGCTTTTAATTTACAGGATACAAATTTTTAAAGTTTTCAACAAGAATTAAAGTGCGCAATTTTACAGTATTCCAGCTCCGACCATTATGGACCAAATATACATATGTTACAGAAATATATACACATATCTGCAAGTATTTTACATTCATGTACATTTTAACGATAACCACTCTCACAATCTTAAATGTTGCTTTTTCTTTTTGCATTTTATTTATGGTAGAGCAAAAAAACAAAGACGTATACCCTTTGAGATTTTACAATTTTTACAGCTTGTTCATCTGATACTATCAGCTAAGACTTACCCCTGCTTCCACACAAGAATCATTCGTGACATATTCCATATATTTCAGCTGCGTGACACTCTGAAGACTGTTGCGCACTTGGTTGTTTTGTTTTGTTTTTTGCCGATTTCCCCCCATGCCCTGCCTGCTTGTAACATTTTCCACCTTCTAAACTTCTTGAGACCAAGAGCAGGTGAGCTTCTATGCATTTTTATGTGGAACACTGGCTGGTATGTTGCATTTGTCACAAAAAAGGAAATAGTTTCCCCTTCTTCCTAGAAAAGGGATTTAGATCTCTCATGAGATCTGTTCCTTTTCTTTCATTTTTTAATTTAAAATATTTTTATGCATTTGCAAGGTGCAAGGAGTAACTCCAGACCGAGTAATACCGGAATTACATGTGGGGGGGGAAAGGTTTTTTAAATATAAAACAGAACTCTTCTACTTCAGTAGAAAAATCTCGGGGGAAATCAAATCTACATTCACTCTGAGAAAACGGGAAATAACAAAGTAAGTAGCCCCCAAACTGGAACATTATTTAATTTTTTCTCTTTAATGCATTTACACAATGGGTACCTCCCAATTAGATTTTAAGTTGTTTACAATGTACTTTGAGTGTAAAATATTGTGGAAACCAAGCCATCCCATAAATAAGATGTGCAAATTATAAAATTAGTTACCTTTTGTTAAACTGGATGAAGAAAGTTTTGAGTAGGGACTGAACTGTCATCAAGAGTTATTTTGCATGGATGAGAACATTCTAGTTTGCCCAGCAATATTCTATCAAGAAATAAGCACATTTCTTCTTAAAAGATGGTGCTTAAATCCAGGGAAGAGGAGATAACTAACCTATTGAGGGGGGGATATAATTTACATGACTTGTGCTTAAACTGATCATCTCCTTTCCCATTTAATTTTGCTATGGTTGCTTACATCAGTGCTTCTCAAACTCTCTCATGGGGTGGACTGGCAAATCCCACCCCACCTGATGTGCCAGGAGTTGGTACCATATTGGGTACCTGAAACATCCCACCCATCCTGGGCTGTGGCGGAGTCACCACAGACCAGCAGCCAATGGCTCATGAACTGGACTGTCACTGAGTAACACTGGCTTACAAGACAATCGTCACCATGGATTTTGTTTGTGCTCCTCAGTGACTGTAGACACCATCTAGAACCTTAATCCTATTATCCATCACATTAGCATTGTGGCAGAGGATGGTTACATCATTTTTCAGCAATGCAAAGATTACACCAATAAGGGACTTTTCATTTCAGGTGTGAAAGAATATGTGAAGTGCTAAAGCATGAACTCTTGAGGATGTTTGCTCCAAGGAGCTCTGATTGATCCTGGCTCACTGACCTTCTTTTGCACACTGTACAAACAAGTGGCAAAAATGCACGCTGCTGCTTTTCATGTACAGAAGCGAGTGCATGCTAAATATTTGTACAAACTTATACTGCCCACAGCATGCCCTAAAATTAATGCAAGTCTCTCTAAATGACAGGATCCACTGTCCTGCAGGTACATGCGGTTCCTACTGTAAACCCTGGCTGAGGCAATGATTTATTTGACAATCATAACAGCCCCACTTATGCAAAGAGAGCTGCTTTCTACCTTATGTTTGCATTGCGGCAAGAAATCTCATGTGTGTGCAAGCTTCCCCTCTCAGTTTAACCAACAGGGCAGCTCCATGTACACACCCCTTTGCACATGTTTTTCTTCTTCTTCTCTTAATGACATTTTTTAATGCAACAAAATATTTTTGGGAAGAGGATGGCCTCATAGGCACCAGCCAGGCAGCACTGTGCACATCTGGCATTTGCTGAAACCAGCAGAACATTTCCCCTCAGCTCAACATGCTCTGAGAAGGAAGCAACGATTGTGCTTCCACACTGCTAACTCCTCTTTTCATGAACGTTTATACATAGCCCTAGATTTACGAGTGCACTAATCTATAATCATTTGGAAAATACAGTGGAGAAAAGTGTTCCTTTTTTATGCCTTCAGGAAAAAAGCAGTTCACGGTTGTGAACCAGTACACCAGTTAATTGCCCTGGTACACTGTTAGCACGATGAGCCTTGAGTTAGTCGAGAAAAATGAAGGACTGCAAGAAAAGGGGAAAAGCCACTCCACAACAATTGATTTGCACCTGCACATACAAAATGCCACTGAAGATGGATAAATGCTTTAGAGTTAACGACTAAGAAGTCAATAGAGCTAAAGGTATCAAGATGGCACAGCGCTACAGACTTCTTTCATTATTCAAGTATATTTACATCCAGCAACAATAAAAACAATAGTACACTTAGTCAAAGTACAACTGATAATTACATTTGGTATACCCACGCTTTATCAAACTACTTTAGTTTTTCCTATCACTGAAGCTATTTCCAGTGACCCAACCAAATTTCACTGTCCCACTGAAAGCAGAGAGACTTACGTTTACTAACTTTGGCAAGATTATGGCCAATATTCCACACACCCCAAATATGTCAAATCACAGCCAGCTGTAGATTCAAATCTAGCAAAGGAAAAAGAAAAGAGGGAGGGGGTTTAAACCAATAAATTTGCAAGTCCCAAATTCATTCTCAACTGAGCAATTACAAAATTACTGTATTTAAAAATCAACTTGTATCGGAATGCAAGAACGTTTAAATAAGGCAGCAAAGACACCAGCACATAGTGTTTCTACACTGTAAGTTTACCTTGCTTAATATTGGCAAAGTTGAAGGAGGGAAAATGCAGGAAATGTTCAGTTAAAAAAAAATATTGACACACAAGCATTGTTTCGGGGTGGCTTAATGTCGGCAATGTGGATATTCCAAGTGGTCAGTCCTTTTGTGCACTACAGTTCATGGAATTTATTCTCTGACGCAGCAGTGGGTGGGTGGGTTTCTCGTCACTACCAACCCCATGAGGATCATCCACCAAACACCAGGGTAACATTATGGTTTGAACTGGCAGGCATTTTTAAGCCGAGTGATTTGCTGGCACCCTAAGTGCTGCTCAAGTGGTCAAGCAAGAGAATCATATGAAACACCATCAATGGATCGGTGCAGAAGGAGCACCAGGTCCTTGCTAAGCATACTTAGCAAACGGGGATCCAGCTTCAGCAATGCATGCTTGGTCTCTGCCACTTCTACCTGCAGCACGTTTTCCTTCTTCGGCATAGTTGAGCAGCTCATTGTCATTAACCACAAACCGTTATGGTTTCCCTTCATCTAGCATCAGAAGTAATTGGTAAAAGCACAAGGACATGCAGATTGGGTTACAAAAGCTGTCCCTCTCTCTCTACTGAATCAATTACTTAAATTGGGTTGCAAAGTGTGTACATAAACACAAAAACACACACTCCTTCGTTATTGCATCTTGCTGCATGCTAACTCCATACAGAACCAGTCAAACAGATAGTCAGTTGAATAAAAAAAGGAAATGGGGTAACAGTTAAAAGGCCAATACAATATGAAAATTAAGACGACTGAAGACAAATTCCAGTATTTTCCAACGACACACAGAAGTTCTGCTTAGAATGAAATACAGCTTGAAAATGTTAACCAAGAAGCCAGAACTTTTGTTACCCACATGTGGGATGGCCTTGGGAGAAAACAAATTAAAAGGGCCACTTCTTTGTCCTAGAAATCCTACAGAAATAAAAATGTATCTTAAAAGGTTTTGGAGCCAGAATAGGGTAAGAAAATCAGACTATATATCTTATTTACCTCATCTTTATTACAAAGTAGTCATTAGCTGTGCTTTACGCAGGAGTCTTAAGGACCCCAGCACATGAACATCGAAGTAAATCTCCTTTCTTTCCATGGAACTTTGCTTCTATGCAAGTGTGCTTAGAATATTTAATAGGAAGTGCTCTCTAAGTGCTAGATAGGGGCTATTTTTATTATTATTATTATTATTATTATTATTATTATTATTATTATTAATGCTTTCCCTCCCCCCCCCAAGGTTTGCACTACACACCTGCAAACTGGGAGGGGAAAGATGAAGGAAATCTGACATTACCTGTGTGCTTGTTTTCCATCCTCCAGCCCCCTCATCTCAAACATTATAGGGATAATTACAGCCCATTTTCATTCCTTTCCAACCCATATAGCATACCATGTGATCAACTATAAATGGTTACTAGCCCTGGTACAAAATGTGTGCTTTCAAACAAGGTTCCCAGAACCAAAACCACCATATTCCTATTCACCAGGGAAGGAACATAAGGCCTCTTTCTGAAAATCAACTGCCCATAATTTCATTGTAGTAGAAGTGTAATAGTTGGCTTTCCATTTTTTAAAAACCCCCTACGTTTAGGATAACTGCATGTACACAAAAAGGTTCACAGTCAATGATTAACTCTGCGCTGAGAGCCACATCAGAAATATACAATGAGTTAGAAGTTTTTGTACCCAACATGCTTATTTTAGGCCTGCTTTGCATATTACACCTTTCCTACCATTAAATATTTCAAATGGGTTTGGAATAAAGATACAGCCTGATTGTAGAGTGTCACACATGAAAAACAAAAAATGCACGTTTTGTTGTGCATGCACATGTGCAATTGCCACATAGGGCAACTTATGCCTTGATGCATTCTTTTTCCTTGTTGGCACAACGTGATTGTGAGTAATTAACACAATTTTATGGTAAGAAGCAATGGACATTCTGTATACCAGATGACATCTGGCAGCACTTACTATGTGGTAGTTACAACAACAACCCTGCCCTCAAGGATGAAAAGTAAATAGTCTGTTCAAAGTCTAAAATGAAGAGGAAAGATCTGAATTTATGAAAAGGGAAGAGTCCACTCAAAACTATCCCTGAAATTAAATCCAACCTAAACAAAGGTGGATGCTGCATTACTCAAGAGATTCTGCGTCAGGGTGAATGAATGGAGAGATCTCCCCAATCAGTTGGCAAAGGAATCTGGCACATCTCTGTGGATAGGAAGCATTTCCCAGCAGGAGCAATATGGAAAGTTCCAATGAAGACAAGGCAAAGTACTGGAAAATAATTCCTTTTCTTTCTTTTGCATTAAGCATTTTTTTTTACTATTTTTAAAAGACACCTCAGCAGCAACATTAGCTAAAAAACCCCAGGAGTTGCAAAAGGAACCTCAGGCCTACGGTAGAGGAATAGGATTGAATCAAGGCTCATCCCTAATCTAGTAAATTTACTATTGCTCTAATAAAGAGCCCTGTGCTTCCTCTGGATTCCCAATTTTACTTTTCTCTCTAAAAACCACAAGGTTCTTTCCATCATAGGCATGTTGACTTTTGTACTACATGCAGAAATGCAGACAGAAATCGTCTGCATAGAAACATTAGGAAGAAGGCAGAATGCACAACCAGTGCAGTTCTATTCATTCACCAGAATACTACTGAATGAGTCTAGAATAGGATCTGGTTTGTTGGCTCAGATTGGCAGTACAGCAATCTGACTGTCACCTTGAGCATTCTGTTAGCTCCTTTATCTAGTTATTGGTGAAGCAAGCCTATCCGGAAGGTATTGGGTGGCCTCTAATATTTCAATTCCACTGGTATTTCGGAAAGAGTGCTTTGCATATTTAATACTTAGCAAAAGTGAGCAAAGCATGGAAGAAGTATTTAAAATGGGATATATAAAACATCTCTTCAGACCTTCGTATTTTTAACATGAAGGCTTGAAGACAGTTTCCCTGCAATCAGAAGCCTGTCTTGTTGGGGTCATCTATCATACAGAGATTTCAAAGCAGTTTCAACAGAATATACTTAGCATTCTCCTCAAACCTTCCTGCTAAATGCATGAATGCCTGAAGAGCCATCGCAGCCAAGGACAATTCTCCTGCCTCCTGCCCATGGTTAAGCCTTTGCGTTCAGGTAAATGCCTGACTATGCCTTTAGTCTCTTACAATTGTGGCTATTTAGCAGAGAAATATAAAAACTGGTGTCTTCCCCCTGGCCAGGTAGATTTGAACTTAAGTAACTGAACACAGACCAATCCGGAGGTGCAAGATAAAATTAGCAAGTTACAACAAAACTGTTACTGTCATTATTGGCTCAATACTGCAAAACGTAATAGAGATATAATTCCCTAAGAATCCTTTTATGCACTAAGTAAGGTCCAGGTATTCAGGTTTGTTTGTTTTTTAAAAAAGCCATACCCCCTACAAAATCAGATTTCATGTCTATTATGTTATACAATACAGTGTGTAATATTCCATGCAAACAGTGGGTGCAATCACATATTGCAATGGCAGATCTGCCACCCACTCTATAAGTGGGTATGAGTAATATAATACAGTTAATACAGTAGTAATAACTGTTGCAACATGTGCGTGGTTAGTGAGAGTTATAACAGCTAAATTCAAATGTGCCAAATCATAGTTTGTGTCAACCGTAATTTAGAATCCAAAGCACAATTTGAGTTTCCAAATCTACAGGAAACCATGGTTTAGGGAAACTTGCAGGCTTTCATATTGTCTGCTCAGCCCTACTGTCTCAATGCAGTTGCCCCTGACTTTTAACTATGATTTGTCAACTACAGTTTGCACAAGGCATGGCTTGATGGTGTTTTTTGCTGTCTCAAATCATGGCTTGTCAATTCAGGCATCCTCCTAAGCTATGTATGTTTAATATTTCTTAATCACGATTTGATGTGATGTCTAGATTGATTGATGATAATATTAAGGTCTGGGTGTTAGTGACCAACTATAAAGGCATAATACATGATCACAAGTGATCATTTAAGACCAGGCTGTTATTTAATGAAGCACTTGCTGTAATTTTAAAAAGGTAGCACCACCTTCTAAAGGTTAACAGGCACAGGACTGAGTAGAGGAATTATGTTTTTCAAAACACAGCCAGGACTTGCACATCCATTACATGCCATTTGACTTACTACTGCTTTTTAAGCTCTACGTTTATGTATAAAAATATCAATGCCATCAGATATAAACAAGTAACTAGTTGTGTTTAATTTAGAATCCTCTGCTTAAATTTTCAGGAGGATGCATGCTTTATAAATCATAGGCAAACAGCATGAACCTAGTATCATGAGGTCAAATCAAAATTAAGTATATTACATTTTCCTCTCTAATAGCATACCCTGCAAATCTTATATATTGTACTTGTTTAATAATTTTTAAAATGGAAAAAAGAATGAGGGTTTTTTAATAGACAATTTAGAAATTTTAGATACTCTGGGTATTGTTCTTTTCTCAAACACAAATTGATAGAATATATGTACAAGTCAGTGTAAATAGTGCTAGAATTTAGATACAATAAACCAAACTGTCTTTACATTCCAATACACATCTAATTTGGCAAGAGTGGAGGTATATCTTAAGACACAGCTACGAGTCCTAGAATGCAGCCAAGATATACCAGTACTGACATCAATATGAAACAAGCCATTTCTTTCTCAATAGCATTCATTTCATATGATGCTGTTTTCTTGAGAAGAGTGGTATAGTTAATATTGGTCACTCTTTGATAGACATTCATTTAATAAAAAGGAAATGTGGAAGGGTACATTAATTTTATTGACACAACATAAATATAAGAAAAAGTTCCCTAAAAAAAAAGATGAACGTTGTTTTTCTTTTCCAACATAAAGTGCTAAGAAACGTGGTTGAGCCAGGAAGGCTGGCTTCTTTCTTGCTGATTTCAGAATTAGTGTCAACCAAAGTTTTGAGTGGAGAGAGAGTGAAAAATACATTACAGACCATCTGCTACGTCAAGTTTCAGCTTCCAGTTTTGCAGAGCTTTCATGCTGGTCCTCTAAACTCATCCGCAAATCATTGGAGCAGTCCGGTGTTTCGCCTTTGACGGCCAAATGGATGACCTTCAACCACTTCTGTTTTAGTTCCTCATTGTCCGCGGCAAAGCTGTGCACTGACTTGGACTGAGTCAATTTGAAACTGTGTGGAAGGTCAGCGCTTCTTGGAGTGTCATCTACTGTGTAGCCCAGCAAAGGGATGGTAGCTAGCGCTTTCACATCCTAAGCAAACAGAAATAATAACCTTTTAAAAAGCTCTGGGTTTGGTAAGGAGGAGAGGAGAGTAATCGACCAACCGATTACATAACATTTTTTCCCCCAACTTAACCCAAGACGTTCTAAAGGAAATCAGAGTGCAAGACTTCAGCCCCCGTCACACAAACCTCTCACACCAGCAGAGGCAGACAGGTGTTGGGAGGAAAGGAAAAGCTCTATTGTGGTGGTCTTTAGCAAGATAGAAATATGGAGATGGCATATGCACCCGCAGGAGAAAGTGCAGAAGTGGAGAAATCCTAATCCTATGATGTGCCTCCTTATCCTCTTATTACCTACCCCTCCACCCCACAATTATTCACATGATGAGCACTGGGGAAGCAGAATGATGCCATGGTCTCCGCAACAATTTATTTCTGTGAAAAACACCTTGTTTGTCTGCTGAAGGGAACAGATTAAACAAATCAGAGGAAGTGGGACAGAGTGCACAGTCGATAATTGCAAAGCTGTTACTGGGAACAGTTGTACCCCACTTTTCATGCACCCTATCAGAGGATTTTTTTGTCCAACACATTCTCCCTACGTACCTGTGGAGCACCGTACATATATAATACAAGGGCTTCCTGCTTAGGAATCACACACCAAGCCTTCTGCCAAGTCTTAGATTTTTCCAAGTATTGGAGAAAACTACATATCACACTGTTCCCGGATACTTCTGCTGATTCAATCTGGAAGGGTGGAAGAGAAATATTTTCTTTCAGAGAATTCCAATAGCTTAGTCTAGCTACAGCACAGTTCCTCAGATTATTACAGTTAGAACATAAGATGTTATCCTTTTTCTGAGAGTTAAAGTACAGCAAATGTCAGTTGAGTCAAATAGTTAGAAGGAACCAGACAAGATAAATCTCAATTGCTGACACTGAATTCACTATTTTGCTCTTTGTCAAAATAATATGGCATGGAAGCAATGAAGTGTCAGGACACAGAACAGATGCTGGGAGAATGGAGTGCTCTTATGTTTCTATAAGTTCCTGATAAAGATGGGGATTAGCTATTCTGACACTGGGTGCCTCATAAAGAACAAAACGGTGAGTTTAAATAACAGTTGAATGGGGGGAAAGAATAGTACTGGAAGCTTCTGCTGAAACAGAAGTCTCAAGATCATCTGCCAACCTTGGTTGGTTTTTAGTCAATAGTCCCCCACTCTCTGCAAATCTCACTTGAGTACAGACACACTTTCCTCTTCACCCTCTGCCCAAACTTCACCAGCTGTAAATGTCTGTAAGAATTCAGTAACCCTATAAAATATGTCATATTCAAAAGGGTGGGGGAGTGTGGTCAAGGGATCATGACTTGAGCTAAATCCATCCACCTAAGTCTGTTGTCAAACAAAACGGTCTCCATATGCAGGCTATTTTTAAAATGTATGTATGGGTATACATATAGCGAGAGACAGATAGACAGACACAAAACTTGCTTGGTGGCTGATCCACACAGTTTTCTGAATGCCGCCATAAACTATTGACATAAAAGGCTTTGCAGAAGAAGCAAAGAGATCCACTACGTGACAGAAGCAAAAGCATGTGACTTGGCCTTTTTTTCATGAATGGCTTGCCACACACAGCAGTTGCCATCCTGATGCAGCTCTAAGCGGCCACATCAAGGTGGCTGTTCTGTGAAACAATGGCTTTTGACTGTATCTAAACAAACACAGAATATGAATCCTAGTCTCAGGTCCAATCCAAAAGCTCTGTATCTTAGTACCATGTAAACCATCCAAGAAAAACGCCTCATCTTCCAATGAAAGGTAAGCCAAAGAGCATATTACACACAACACAATTGAATAACTCTTTAATGTCATACCTCCAAGATTCCTTTCTTCTTCTTTTCTTCACTATCTGTGCATCCTGTTATAATGTGGTAGCAGTCCTTACAAACCTTGTTCAGCTTACCACCATCATACTCAAGATGAGCTTTGTAATCAGAACATTTCCAGCAAACCACCTTAAGAAGAGGAAGAGGAGGATGGGAATGAATTATTCTGGAATATTATTTTCCCTCCTCCCCATTCATTCTATATGGTGAGATTTTGCCAAACACGTGCCTCCTGACAGTTCCAAAAATGAAAGTCACCCATACTTGTTCAAGGAAGTAACCTCCCTGAATTAGCTCTGCCACCCAAATCAATGCAATCCAAGACCCACAAACAATTAATTCAGGCTTAGGTTGTGAGATTACAATGCTATTTGTCTGATTTCTTCATAGGCATGTGATTCCCTCCTCTTCCCCATAGAATTAAACCTGAGATTCTCATTTTATTTTTTATTTTTTAGTTGCATTTATATACCACCTTTTCTTCTAAGGAGTACATGGTTCCCCTCCCCCATTTCATCCTCACAAGAACCCTATGAAGTAGGTGAGGCCATGAGATGGTGGCTAATGACCCAACCTAGCTAAGGGCTCATTCAGACTTCTGCTTGTCCCGCCACTTTCCCCCAGGGAAATCTGATATTTACTGCTGAATCGGAGCAAACATCCATCAGGTTTACTGTAGATTGACGTCTGCTCTGATTCAGCACTAAACAGAAAACAGGGGCAAACAGGAAACCACAAAGACCCGAGCTTCCTAGGCACAGGACGAGCGGAAGTGTGGCCAAGCCGGGTTGTATCCACTACAGCCATCAAGGACTTCTGCTTGAGCAACAAAACTTCAATTAGCTCTCCTCCCCCAATGCCCCACCACCATACCATAGGATTGAGGCAAAACCCATAACAAACTGAGGGAGCAAAGAGCAGTTCCACTGCACAAGTAATAATAAAATTTATTATTATTATTATTAATAATAATAATAATAATAATACCCCGCCCTCCCCAGCCAAGGCCAGGCTCAGGGTGGCTAACAAGCAATAATAAAAACAAGTTGAATGAATACAACTTAAAAACAAGATCAAAATACAACATTAAAATACTGAAACATTAAAATATTAAAATGCAGCCTCATCACAGGAGGAGAAAGGAAAAAGAAAGAGGGGGAGGGAATCAAATTGGCTCCAAGCCAAAGGCCAGGCGGAACAACTCTGTCTTACAGGCCCTGCGGAAAGAAATCAGATCCTGCAGGGCCCTGGTAGAAGTAGAAGCCCTTCCACAAATGGGACGACTTCGCTGGATACAGCTCAAAGGACATAAAAATCTTTCAACTAGTAACAGAACCCCAGTAACCCTGACAAAGCTTCAATGCAAATGCAAATTTAAGGTTAGTTGAATTATCAGTTGAAAAATCAGATATTAGTGACAGCTTAGAGAATAAAAGCAAAGCAAAAACTGTCTTCATCTTAGCTGCATCATCATCGAGGCAGGAAAACAAGACTTAAAAATCACCAACTGCTGAAAGAACAATTTAATGGGAAATTTCCTGAGCTGTCTGCAAAGGGAATCAGTTTGGCTCATACAGTGAAGCCGCCGCCCACATTTTGACCACTGCTCAATGGCTCGCTCAACGGCAACAAAGCAGCATTTAGAAGCCACCAGCAGATGGCGGATCTGAGCAAGTTTTGAGCTGATCCAGCATCTGTTAACCAACTAGTAGACATGGCTTTGTCCTTACATGCCCACATGCTCGGCAATGATGCCTCCTCCTCGTTAGCGCATTGAAGGATTCCTTGCATTTCATGCACATGGTCACTTCATTGTCCCGAATCCATCTTGGTGCTCTCTTCCCAAGCTCAGCAGTCTGAAGGGAGGCGTGGAGAAATTATGAAGTCATTCGCACAGCAGCAAAGAAAACAAATCACTTTCTTTCAGTGGGAAAGTAGCAGCACAACACAGGCAGTTTGGGAATCCACATGTTCCAGGGACCTCGTTTTCTGTACTCCATAAAGTATTGACACTGTGTTTTTTCTGCTCTTTGATCTGGTTTTCATAAATGCATTTTATTGATCATACTAATGATGCAAATAACTTTGGTGATTTGTCATATAAGTGAAAAGCAGCATCTTCTGCATAAAACAAAGCACCGTGCATCTTGATAGCACAATAAATTATGGTAAGCAGCAGCAGCAGCAACAACAGTAATAAACCATATTCTCACATGAGCATCTAACAAGGGTAAAGGACATGCTCATATGGATGCAAATGTGTCTTGTGAATTAATACTAAGAAACCAAGGCTGGGTACATATGGTGTGTTTATAGTATATTTGAAGCACATTTTTACACTCAAACAATTCTGGGCACTGTGGTTTGTTAACGGTTGTTGGAAACTGCATCTCTGAAAGGAACAAACTACAATGTCCAGAATTCTTTGTGGGAAAGAAAGCTGCTTTGAATGTGCTTTAAAGGTACAGCGTGTACGCAGGCCTCAAAGTGTAAACCTAACTGGGTCAAGGCTAAGTATGAGGCCTCACTTTCAAAAGCCATTCCCAGCATTTTCAGGTGCAATTTTCACATCAGCAGCTTCAGACATACCCTATCAAAACGTTATGGGTGCCCACTTACAGAAACTTCAATAGGTGTGTCCTCATATTCTTTTGCAATAGCAGTTCTGAATGTTTCATTCCTTTGCTGAAAAGCATCTATAGTATTCTGGAGAGCCTGGAATGAATAGCATGGGTCAGAACTACTAAAACTTCAAATCTAACCAATTTAATGACAAAACAAAGGAGGTCACACAGCACGCTTGATTTACAGCTAGCATATTCGTTAATTTTAAAAAGGAATAAGCATTAAAAGTTTTAGTTTAAAGGAAGAACAAAAATAAGGCAGATTCCAAAGCAGTAGCAGTTTTAGGTTGTTGCGGCAAATACAAAATCCTTTCTAACAACTAGCAAACTTATTGTATCATACTTTTTTTTAAAAAATCACATTTACCTTTATCCATTCTTCTTTATCTTGTTCAGAACTACAGGAAACAGTTGGGACATAACAGTTAAAAGCAAGTTCAGGAAACATTAATTAGCTAGAGTCAAATCAATTTCTGTTTATTCAAAGCACCTATTACTTTGACTTGCCTACGATGTAAATCTGAACACAGATGGCTTAAGTGAGAATACTGTACTGAAAATGCCCCATTAATAGAAAAGCTTGGCATCCTGTACTCAAATGTTAATGCGCTTCAGTTGCGCAGGATTATTTCAAATGAAATTTTAATTATGAATCACGATGGCATTCTTAGCAGTAGCCTCCTGTCTCTCCCCCCACCCCCCAATACATAGTGGTAAGGGAATGTCAAATGATTGCATCCAGAACACACAAACAGAAACTCTTTCCAACATTCACAAATCATTCAATTATAATTAGAGGTGGATTTCTCCCATCTTTCATAACTTCCTTCCCTCCACCCTCCAAAAGGTAAATATATTTAAAACTATAACCATCCATTGTTATAGCAAACCCTCCCAAAAAAGTCATATCTGTGACTCCACACAAATATTTTACTGCCCAATTTGAAGTCTATCTAAAAATAGCTTTGTAAGCCACCCAAAGAACTGATGTCATGGGGCAGCTACAGATGTCATGGGGCAGCTACATAAAATTACTTAATAAAATAATAATATCTAAACACAAAAGTGTGCACGCTAGGTGTAAAAGATGTATAGGAATAGAGAGTTCTAACAAGCAACGGAGGGTGGCTTCCCCCCCAATATTAAAATTGCCGTTAAAATCATCACCAGGGAAGAAGCTCAGAAGCTTATTTCCATACTCCTCTGTATCTTTGGGGAGACTGGAGTCATGCAATTCCTTCTACTTACTTAAATCTCTTGTGACACACTAGTAGTTCTTTTGGGGCATTCTAATGCGCCCTTGCACAATTTGAAAATTATTGCTCCAGTGGTTTCAAATTCCAGCATTAGGAGAGATCTTGCACTCTTATAATCATGGGTATTTCCTGTCTGATTTAAAGCAAAATAAGATGGATAAGGGACGCAGGTGGCGCTGTGTGTTAAACCAGAGCCTAGGACTTGCCGATCAGAAGGTCGCCAGTTCAAATCCCCGTGATGGGGTGAGCTCCCGTTGCTCGGTCCCTGCTCCTGCCAACTTTGAAGTTCGAAAGCACGTCAAAGTGCAAGTAGATAAATAGGTACTGCTCTGGCAGGAAGGTAAACGGTGTTTCCGTGCGCTGCTCTGGTTCACCAGAAGCGGCTTAGTCATGCTGGCCACATGACCCGGAAGCTGTACACCGGCTCCCTCGGCCAGTAAAGTGAGATGAGCGCCGCAACCCCAGAGTCGGTCACGACTGGACCTAATGGTCAGGGGTCCCTTTACCTTTACCTTAAGATGGAGAAAGGCAGGGGAGTGTGAAGCCTGCTTCCACTTTTTCTGTTCATATAGATAGGGTAATAGCAGAGCAGGTCAAAACACCTGTTTATGATGAACAGCTGCAACACAGTCTTTGCAGTTTTTCTTCTTGTACAGTGGTACCTCTAGTTATGAATTTAATTCATTCCGGAGGTCCGTTCTTAACCTGAAACTGTTCTTAACTGGAGGCGTGCTTTCACTAATGGGGTCTCTTGCTGCTGCTGTGCCACTGGCACCCGATTTACGTTCTCATCCTGAGGCAAAGCTCTCAACTCAAGGTAACTCTTCCAAGGTTAGTGGAGTTTGTAACCTGAGGCGTTTGTAACTCAAGGTAAAAGGTAAAGGTACCCCTGCCAGTACGGGCCAGTCTTGCCAGACTCTAGGGTTGTGCGCTCATTTCACTCAAGAGGCCGGGAGCCAGCGCTGTCCGCAGACACTTCCGGGTCACGTGGCCAGCGTGACAAGCTGCATCTGGTGAGCCAGCGCAGCACACGGAACGCCGTTTACCTTCCCGCTGGTAAGCGGTCCCTATTTATCTACTTGCACCCAGGGGTGCTTTCGAACTGCTAGGTTGGCAGGCGCTGGGACCAAACGACGGGAGCGCACCCCGCCGCGGGGATTCGAACCGCCGACCAAGCGATTGGCTAGTCCTAGGCGCTGAGGTTTTACCCACAGCGCCACCCGCATCCCACTCAAGGTACCACTGTATTATATTGATTTAAGCCTTGTAAAATGCAAAAAGTTGGGAAAATCTAAGAGGTGGAGCTTTTACTGCTTCTTTTGAGACCCACAATACTGATTTACTGTTCACCTTCTCACATCTGCCTGAAAAAATGAGGCTGATCTTACCAAACACTAAATGAACAATAAAGGAAGTATCTGCTTCATGAGCGTAACAGGAAGCAGCGTTCTATAATGAAGTGAACCTTGCTGACCACCAACATAATTGTGCATTCTAGTGGCAATCAGAAAGCATGCCCACAAGCTTTTCTGGTAAAGAAAATCCTCTGGGCAAGCTAAGCTTTGCATCAGAGCTAATGCACATTTTATGGGATGGGGAAGATTAGTATTATCACTTATTAATATACTGAATGTGGAGGGAGGGAAAGCTGGCTAGGCTAATGTGATGAACAGAATATCACATTTTCATTCAAGCACCTCTAAAAACTGGAAGAGATATGCAATGGGGTGGACCCTTAATGGGTCTACTCTGAGTATGGCTTGGTTCAATATTTCCGTTAGTCTTCAAGGGAACATTTTCTCGCAGCTGCTTTTCTATCTCCCAAAGTGAGAATATCCTAGAGGCCCTTTGATATTCTCAGCACTGGAGACATCAGAGATTATCATCACCCCACAGATTGGACAGTGACCTGAGAGGGGCAGTTTTGCCTTCCCTTAGGTGCTTCAGCTAGTATGCAAGCATAATCAGAACTACTACCCTGGAGGCAGCTTAATAAAATTGCATCTTCCTCTCAGCCTGTGGTTCACCAAGGTTAAGGAGATGGTTGATCGAGGAGTTGGAAGAAAATCCATGCATTCCAGGTGCAAAACGATTCTGGCCAAGTTGTAAATACCTTTCCACCAGAGTCCTACCACGTTTACATGTATCTATTAAGTAAAATGTAATATAAACATTGACAACTGGGAAACACTGGCCTGCGAGTGCTCCAGTTGGAGAACAGCCTTTACCAAAGGTGTCATGAGCTTTGAAGACACGCAAACGCAGGATGTAAGGGAGAAACGTGCTAAGAGGAAGGCATGCTTGGCAAATCCACAACATGATCAACTCCCGCCCGGAAACCAATGTCCCCACTGTGGAAGGACGTGTAGATCCAGAATTGGCCTCCACAGTCACTTACGGACGAATTGTTAAAACTGTGTTTATGGAAGACAATCTTACTCGGCTACGAGTGATCGCCAAAGATTAAGTACCACTATAATAACCTCAAATTTTCATCTCGTTTTACCTGGCCTGCAATTCCAAAGTTCGCTCTTTCCCAGAGACTTGGAATGTGTGTGGGTATTCTTCATTGTGCGTTTCCACGATTTTCATACCATCAATGCCAACTCTTGTCCGAACTGTGAACTTAGATCCCACCAAGCTGAATTTGGGGACACAGTATAGCAATCTGTTGTTGAACTGCAAAAAGCACAAGCCACACCAACTGATGTTAGCTGCCGCAAAGACAAACCTCTCTTGCATAAAAGGCTTGAAAAGGTAGAGAAGCTTAAACAGCAAACACAACAAAAAAGGAATGTTCAAAAGTGTGGTATAGAGGAGTTCGGTCAAGTTATCAATAATAACGTCAAACATCTCACAATGTTCACCCAACCTTATTCCATACAGTAAGCACAACGTTCAATATGCTTTCGGAAAGAAATGCTAAATTTTCCAATGTACTAAATAAGAGGAACTTTTTACAAATTACATCAAACACTCATATTATAGCTGCCGCCTTCTGCTATGTCTTTTGCATTTCAAAAACTGCTTACATTTAAAATTGGGGATGTGGGGAGGAAAGATGTGGGGGTAGGAAGCTAATCTGGAGTTCAGAAAGTGTGGTGCTCTCCCCGCGCTGCTTCTCTGCTCTCAAAGTCACTCCCTCCCAAAGCTGCTTCACTGGTGGGACGAAATGTCCCGAGGCTCTAAGGCACAGATTTGCTTGAAGCATGTAGTCAGCATTCAAGAATGAAGGTAAACACACATTCACACAGATGGGCAAACCCGAAGGAAGGCATGATAGATGAGGTACCCATGTGTATTTATTGCAGAAAGAAGCCTGCCACACAGTAACTTTGACCTATTAAGGACAGCCAAATGCACACTTGGCTGATCACTGTTCCATCAATTAATTTGAAATCTTCATTGTTTGGGAACTGCATTTTTAAATCGTTATTATGCTCTCAACATCAATCAGCAGTGGGCAAAAGTGTTTGGAAGAGCTATTGTACAGCTGGGTAAGTGTAGGTGGCTTCCTAAAGCAAAAGGCAGAGCAAGATGGCGTTTGCTGCTGCTGCTGCTGCTGCTGCCATTATTGCTGTCTCTGTTCTACAAAATGCCACAACTCCCTGCTATGCACAGCAATTTATCCAGTCAGCTGTGTTTATGAGCAATGTATTTGCACACATTCACGTTTCACGACATGGCAGCAATTGCCCCACCAGAGCAAGAGAACACAGTAGTAGCAGCAGTTAAGGCAGGAAGCAGCTGGGTAGCAAGAAAAAAAAGTAAAGCAAACATGATAACATATGTTTCCAGGATGGCAAAACATTCTAGGGTTAAATTGTTGTATGCAGCACTTTGCAAAAGGCTTATTGAATCACCAACTTAGTTTTTTTTAGAAGCCTAGTCCATCTGGTGCTGGAGGAGACTCTTGAGAGTCCCATGGACTGCAAGAAGATCAAACGTATCCATTCTTAAGGAAATTAACCCTGAGTGCTCCCTGGAAGGACAGATAGTGAAGCTGAGGCTCCAATACTTTGGCCACCTCATGAGAAGGAAAGACTCCCTGGAAAAGACACTGATGTTGGGAAAGATTGAGGGCACAAGGAGAAGGGGACGACAGAGGATGAGATGGTTGGACAGTGTTCTCGAAGCTACAAACATGAGTCTGACCAAACTGTGGGAGGCAGTGGAAGACAGGAGTGCCTGGCGTGCTCTGGTCCATGGGGTCACGAAGAGTCGGACACGACTAAACGACTAAACAACAACAAAGCCCATCTACAGTTATAAATTTTAGGGAAGTTTTTAATATTTAATGCTGTATTGTTTTTAACACTCAATTGGAAGCCGCCCAGAGTGGCTGGGGAAACTCAGCCAGATGGGCGGGGTATAAATAAATTATTATTATTATTATTATTATTATTATTAATGCAATCTTTATATGTATTGTTGAAACCACTGGTAATGAAATCTAACTACTTCCAAGGATTCAAAAGAAAAGCCAGTTTATTTGTACCCTACCGTTCTACATGCTTCTTAAAACCAATGCTTCAATGAATGCAAGTTGCAAGGACTAGTTTATTAAGTAGCTGGCATGTATTTTAATAGAGGGTAATATTCTTTGCCGACTTGTACTTCCCAAAACAGATGACTTTTTGACAACTACATTGACACTGGGGGGAAAGAGAGGGCTATTCCTCACATTTCAGATTTTCTTCATGTTGCATGGATTAACATATAAAACAGGCCTCAGAATTATGCTTGCTTGCTGGAATTAAAACTATTAACATATTCGGTTATTAATGATCAAACAAACCAGCAGCTCACTGAAAGGACATTTCATAGATAAATGACTTTACTGGGTTGGTGTATGTAAGGGGCCTGGGATTCAGTTACACTGACTTGAAGCTCTCTCTTTTTATCTCTTGAGTATACTATAAAATGGCTTGCAAGGAAGGACTCATTATGGATTAGACTGAGGGCAGATTAAGTATACATAAGGATTCTCCAGGATCACTTTGATGGTTTAATCCACATCTGTGTCATCTAAAGCTTAAATGGAGTATAAGTGAAGTTTTTTCCTCATGCAGGCTTTAAACATGCATATCCTTCATACCTGCTTGAAGCGGAATTAAAAAATATGCCCATTAGGAGGAGGAGGGCCAGAAAAAAAATGTAAAAATGCATCTCCCCATTTACAAGGGAGAGGAAAAACCTGCCCATTTAATGGGTGGAAATGTGTTGCTAGCAGTAACAGAAGGTGCTTGAGCTTCACCAGCAAGGTAAAAAATAATAAATGTATTATGCCTCCTCAGCCAAATTCACTGAGGCAGCAGGAATACTCCCATCAATCCAGTCTGCAAATTGGGAGGCTCCCTTCCCAAAAAGAATTCAATCCTTGTGTTTTCAGACTTAATAATGGTTTAGTGCTACAACTGCACCAACACAAGCCATTGTTATGCTTACTCATAGTTTTGAAGTTTGCTAGAAGTGGTTAAGAGGGAACCTCATTAACATTAATTCAGACGCAACACTAAACAATGGTTAAGACAAATAAAGGGATAAAAGAAGGGAATTTGTACAGGATGAAGGCATGCTAGTTTGCAAGCATATTTTTTCCCCAGAGAGCCAGTATTATGTCTGCACCAAACCAACAAAATAGAAGATCCACCAAAAGATCAGATTTAGAAATGTTATGCACAGGCTAAAATTAAGTGGGGTGTAAGAAGCAAATACTCACTAAGAAAAGGTATCTTTCTTGGGCAGATGTATTACGAGCAGCAAGTTTAAGTATTTGTCCTTCTTTTATGAGTTCATTTGAAGGATTGACAATGTCTTCTTCTTCTCCTAACATTTCATAAACCTCCAACAACTTCTTTAAGTTTTCCTTTTCCATCAAAACAAAATGCGACAACCGTTAGTGCACGCCACTTGTGAATTTTTTTAATGAAAAAGGTTAAATCGTTAAGAAAAAAACATGCAACTGTTTTAGCAAGAACTGTCCTCTATGAAAATGATTGGTGGCATTGCTACAATAAAAATTAGGAAACGGCTTGCAATTATGAACATCTCTTGCAACAAAATGACTTTCCCAATAAAATATTTGCACATATATGCTTGCTAAGAGAAAAATCCCATCAATAAACATCCTCAAAAGATACTATATTCAATGAGTGAAAAAGAAAGGAGCTTGGGAGCAAGCGTGGTGTAGTGATAGGAGCATCCAGCTAAGATGGGCAGAATCTAGGTTCAAATTCACCAACTCAGCCATACAAGCTCAATGGGTGACCTTCAATCAATCATTTTTTCTCAGTCTAACTCATGGGAAGGCAAACTAAGGCCCTGGGGCCAGATCCAGCCCAATCGCCTTCTAAATCCGGCCCACAGATGGTCCGGGAATCAGAGTTTTTTTACATGAGTAGAATGTGTCCTTTTATTTAAAATTCATCTCTTGGTAATTTGTGGGGCATAGGAATTCGTTCATTCCCCCCCCCCCACAAAAAAAAATAGTTCGGCTCCTCACAAGGTCTGAGGGACAGTGGACTGGCCCCCTGCTGAAAAAGTTTGCTGACCCTGGTCTAACTTATCTCACAGGGATATTGTGAGGATAAAATGGGAAGGGGAGGACCATGTATGCTGCTCTGAGCTCCTTGGATGAAAGGTGGGAGATAAATGTAACAAGCTTCATCCAGTAAAACACTTGAACCGTTTGATAACAGAGCTGCAACATTTAGCCACTAATTTATTAGAACAATGCATTTTTAAAAACTAATGACGAAAACAGTGACTCCAATTAATTGGCAATGCTTTTAAATATATTCTAAGGTAAGCCCTTAAAAACTAGATATGACAACTGTCATCTTAGAAGTATCCCCCAATGTAAATTACATCTTATGATATAATACCTGCTGTGAAACATACACATTCCTTGCTTTAAGGTGAGGAGTGTACTTTCCCCAAAACTGCATTTATTCATACAGATTTAATGAGAATCTAATACATATAATTGAATAAGGGTTTTTTCCAAGCATGAGACAGCCCTACCTTTCCATTTAGGTTACCTTAAAATGGTTGCATGAGACTTTGGAAAAAGCTAATATAAAAGGCTTAATTGCAATCTTTCATACTTAGATACCCGCCAAATTGCCTGCTTTATCTTCTGATGTGGATTATGCAAAGGAAAAAAAATCTCACAGAAGTCACTCACCATTTTTCGGATGGCGCTATTAGAGTGACTTGCTGCCGTAGATATTATTTCCAAGGATTCTATAAGAGAAAAATGACCCCCCAAAAGTTAATTACTAGTACTATTATACATAAATAGCGGCTTCAAATGCTAACTTGCATATTTCACTTTTTTATTGCCAACAAATTATAGTGAACTACAAGATTCAGGCTGTAACCCTTTACATACTTACTGGGAGCAAGTCCCACAGAACTCAATGAGACTTACTTATGAGTAGACATGTATAGGATTGTGCCCTCAGTCCAATAAGTTTCCTTAGACTTATGTGAACTTAAAGTAGATAAAGTCAAAACTTGGAGAAGTAAAAAAAAAGACTTTGTGAAGTTAATATAGGTGCCTTAGTCCCTAGGTATAAAACAGACACAGGTTTGGTATTATATCTTTTGTTGGAATGAAGCATATGAAATAAGTTCTGGGTGGAACAGTGCTTTAGGACTAGAAACTACAAACTAACAATCACTTCAAATTGCTATCTGCCCCTCTAGCCACCTCAAAACAAAATCCTTATGAGAATGATATCTTTGCTCATCTTCCCACAACTAAAGAAATCACTAGAACCCAGTAAAAGGCACTGCCTGACCTTATTTGCTTAAGGTGTATGTATCCCCGCCCCCCGCTCCCATTGCTTGCGTAGTGGTGGTGGGGTCCTGAGCACCTCTAGCTTTCCTTCTATGAAATGTGTATTTTGCATTTATTGCATTTCCAAATGTGCGCCTAGGCCCAAACAGATCAGGAACCCTTGATCTACTTCAACATCCTATTTTCTACAGCAGTGATGGCCAAACTTGGCCCTCCAGCTGTTGTTGGACTACAGCTCCCATCATCACTAGCTAACAGGACCAGTGGTCAGGGATGATGGGAACTGTGGTCCCAAAACAGCTGGAGGGCCAAGTTTGGCCACCACTGTTCTACAGCAAAGAACCAGATTCCTTTGGGAAGCCAACCCTCTCCTGTTGCCATTCCCCAGTAAGGGCTATTGAGTGGCATGCTGCCTCTGAACCTGGTGCCATGAAGACCAATAGCCAGTGAGAGATTTGAACTCCATCAATTTTCCTAATCTCATTTTAAGCCCTCTAAACTAGAGACCACCACCACATCTTGTGGCACCAAATTCTACAAATTAATTATGTGCTGTGTCAAGGATTAATTCCTTTTGTCTGTCCCAAATCTCTTGCTAATCAGCTTTGAATTGTATTATTTGTGTGTTCAGAATCTGCACTCCATTTCAGAAAGGAAATTCTGAAAACACAGCATATTTTCATTTGTCCAGAAAGTCTGAGCAAAGGGGATATAATAAATTTAGTAATAAATTTAGTAAATAAATAAATAAATAAATAAATAAATAAATAAATAATATAGTATTTAAACAAATTGCTTCTTGTGAAGTGCTGTTCTTTGTTTCCTTTTCTTGGGATAGTTCTGAAATATTAATGGTCCACACACACCCCTTTTACAGATTTACTGTGTGATGCTGAATATATAACCCACACAAATGTATTTACTTTCAGCATCCTTCCAGTCTAGAGAGTCTTGAGGCAATTTTCTTAGATAGTCCTTCAGAAGCATCTCGTATCTTGGAATGCGCTGCACTGGTTCCAGCATGTGATGTTGCAAGGTGAGATTTCCACAGACTTTCTGCTTCTAAAAAGACAACATACATGTATTGAAACTGAGGGTCCAGAAATGCATCTCTTGCACTCTGCATCCATTAAAAATACTTTATTTCAGTAACACTCTCTTAGTGATATTGGCAAATGAAAGCAATATATTTCATCCAGGGATTTTATTTAATAATTCAGAAAGCTGATTATTAAATGAAATCCTCAGCTAAATGTGTTGCTTTCACTAAATAATTTAAACCCTTTATACTATCTGTAAACAGACTTTATACTTCACACTCTTTGTTATCTATTCTAAACCCAAAGGAATATCAAAAGAAAACATAGTCATATAAAACTAGTTTTAAAATATTGTTTTGATAACAGAATTCAAACATTGGGTGATATGCAATTGAAGCATCCTACTTGTGCAACAGAACTTCCAGGTTTTCTTCTCCTTCACACCACTCCCAGCTCCATGTGTATGATGGGCTGAGGGAAGTGAGATATAATTTTCTCATTCTTTGAGAAAAAGAATACTATGCTTTCTGAAGTCAGTCCATCCGTCCGTCCGTGTGTATGCGTACAAACTTGCATTGTGCTGCCCCAGACTAGCTTACTACCTCAAACCTGGCTATCTTTGCCATGGGGCAGGCTGAGGGGCTAGATTCAAATCAAACAACTGCAAAATATTCTTCAACGGAGAACTATTGCTGAGACATTATCTGACCCATGGAAGAATTTCAGATAATTGCACTTTGATTACAGGAACGTGAAGCCATTCTTCAGATAGCAAGGCCACTCAACAAAAACTGTGATTATATGTTGGTGTTAAGATGAATGTTACAGAAATAAGAGTGAATGGGTTGAAAACTGACCATAAGGTACACTTGTTGGCGTTATTTCAGATTGTTTTACCAACAAGGCATAGTAAATGTCCTCTTTTAACCAGAAAAATGGAAGTCAGTCATTTACCAGACAAATGTAAAAAGCTTTCTGACATTTCAGATTGTTTTACCAACAGGGTATAGTAAATGTCCTCTTTTAACCAGAAAAAATGAAAGTCAGTTGTTTACCAGACAAATGTAAAAAGCTTTCTGACATTCCCCATTTGTTTCCTAAAGTTCAAAGGATAAAATGCTGAATAGATATGTACTGAATTTCGGACACCTCTATCAGCACACACAGATACAAGCCAGAGGTACGCTCCTTCTCCCTCCTCTCAACTTCATATACAACTATGAAGTTGTATACGACAAATGCATAATAAGTATTCCAATATAAATACTTATTTGGTCCACAACGTAGGTATAAGAGATAAGCAGAGTAAACCAAACGGTGCATAATACTATTTCCTTAAAGAAGCCTGGGGTGGGTTCCAATTCGCACATGGAATATCACACAGGTAAGCACATGCTCATTATCCACTGACAGGTTGCTCCCACTCGGGTACGTAAGTTCACCATTACATGCATGGATAACTCACATAAATAAAAGGGTAAGAGTGCAAGCCTCTCACATCTGGAACTCCATGTGCCCTCAAAGCACCCGTTTTGTTCAACCAATACACTATTATCAAGCAATGAAACAGAAGTGCCGCAGTCACAATCTTGACTGCCAAGAAATTTAGCATGTCACACATACAAACGCGCGCGCACTACCTGAATTTCTTGAATAATACATTTGAAGACAGGTGATCGCTCAGTCCACGTTTTCACCAACTCCATTGCGTTGTCAAAATTCTTCACATACTCCCCATACATTTTGAGGAAAGGAGCTAGTTTCTGTAGGATGTCACTGATCCTGGGGTTTGTGTCCCTGGACAGGCAAAAGAAAGCAGTTATAGAGATAAACATGGGAGGTCAGACAATATGTACTATGGGCACCTCAATTCTGTCAAATATGTATCATTTGGTTTATTCTGCTTGATAACTACCTTGTGATTGTGTGATTGACTTTAAAAAAAAAAGAGTATTCCATAAACTAAACAAACAAATTATGTCTCTAACTCACAGCTTCGACAAGTAACCCTAAGAAAAAACCATGTGTAAAGCACCCTACCAAATAAACACTGCAGCTCAGCTATTAATATAAAATCCTCCTCCAATAATTTATTCCAGTACTGGAGCTTTCATTTTCAGAGTTGACAAACAATGAGAAAGGAAAATATTCTTTCCCTCCCAAGGCAGGCTGCAAAAGCTGGAACTGTATTACTTAGATCATGTATAGCTGCCAGTTTTCTAAATACATGCATGGTTCATCTCTCTTGATGCTCCTCTGGCTTGTGACAACCAGTATTTTTGAATAAATGTTAAGTGTGGTTGTGTATTTAGAATACCTGTTTTAAGGAAGAGGTTAAATATATCTTATACCAGGCATAAGCAAACTTGCCCCCCCCCAGATGTTTTGGGACTACAACTCCCATCATCCCTAGCTAACAGGACCACTGGTCAGGGATGATGGGAATTGTAGTCCCAAAACATCTGGAGGGCCAAGTTTGCCTATGCCTGTCTTATACATTTCTGGACATCTCATGGGGAATCATTCTGTGTTCTCTGACATTTCAAGACTATTATGGACCCCAATACTACAAAAACAACTTGCCAATTTATAGTAGAATCATAGAACCTCCTACAGGCACAGATAACATTCACATGGTCTTTCACAGAGTACTATCTCCCAATAATCTGCACTGCTTACCATTCTTGCATTCTTTTCTCAAGCTCTGGCAGCAAGAATTGACTGTGAAACTGATTAATGGATGAAATATTGGAAAATATTTTATTAACAACTTCAGCAGGAAATGAGCCCCTGTTAGCTTCATCCATCAATTTACAATAAAACTCCTGCAATGGATAAGAAGGGGAAAGAGAGTCAGCCACAAAACACACATTCCTGGGCAGGTAAAGCAGGCACAAGGCAAACAAATGTTTGCAGCCAATTTGCAGCTAATTAAAAATGTCCATTTATTATAACGACCTCCTTCCTCTTTCATAATACCACCAGAACTATCTTGCCATTAATCACACTTCCTTGCAAAAAAAGAAGCAGCAGCAAAATGAAGCAAGCAGAATGATACTCAAGTCAACATTTTACTAGTTAAGATTCTAGGCAGTCTGCTGCATCTCATTTGTTTCTCCTTTTCTTCTGCCAAGGGGCAAAGGGCTTGAGGGGGTAAGGCTCATAGAATCATAGAGTTGGAATAGACCACAAGGGCCATCGAGTCCAACCCCCTGCCAAGCAGGAAACACCATCAGAGCACTCCTGACATATGGTTGTCAAGCCTCTGCTTAAAGACCTCCAAAGAAGGAGACTCCACCACACTCCTTGGCAGCAAATTCCACTGTCGAACAGCTCTTACTGTCAGGAAGTTCTTCCTAATGTTTAGGTGAAATCTTCTTTCTTGTAGTTTGGATCCATTGCTCCGTGACCGCTTCTCTGGAGCAGCAGAAAACAACCTTTCTCCCTCCTCTATGTGACATCCTTTTATATATTTGAACATGGCTATCATATCACCCCTTAACCTCCTCTTCTCCAGGCTAAACATGCCCAGCTCCCTTAGTCGTTCCTCATAAGGCATCGTTTCCAGGCCTTTGACCATTTTGGTTGCCCTCCCTCATTATGCTGACTTGAACCTGCCAGCTGAATCTTTGGCTGTAGGATTCTAGTATGAATTTTAATTAAAGGTCTGTTTGCTTCCTACACCTTTTAATCATATTATTTGCTTAACTTGTTAGCAAAGTCGTTTCTCAGAAAACTGAAGGCAGTTGCGCATGCATTAGTGCAGCCAACAGATGTAGTGAGATGTTAGCAGTCAACAGAACCTGAGCAGCAAGCAGTTTAAAGCTAATAAGAGGTGTCAAGCTTCTGCTCCAAGAAAGGTAGCTATGTAGAGCTTCCTCTCTTTCATATTCAAATGGGAAATTCAGGATAAGCCAGCACACATAAGAAAAATGGGCCTCTTTCAACAAAGCTGAAGCTATGATCCAATGAAAGGGAGGTAAATTAAGCATGCAGTGAGTGAAGATGAGGAACGTTCTCAGCAGACAGGCAATATATGATGAAAAATGTGGAGGCATTGGGAACAGAAGTGTTTTATTGCAAGATTTTTGGGGGGGGGGGACAGACCCAGTAGAGTATATTGAATCAGAAGAGCAGAATCAGAGCTCGTGGGTTGTGTGACATTTACATCGCAAACAGAATATTTTTCTGTGCCACCTCCAAAGTCCATAATTCCAACAGAAGTATGAGTAATTCCTAGTCATTTCAATTAAGTCATTAGTCATAATTTAAATGGATTGTTTTTCATTTGTAATTTGTAAATGTCAGTAGTGACCGGTGCCATATACTTTTCCTGGCCAAACTGCAGGGTGGGTGAAGAACCAAGCCTTTATTGAGCAAAGGAAAGAATTGATTTTGCATGTCTTAATGGCAATAGATCTAAAACATAGCAATAGGTTCAGGATTTTCTAAAGGTGTTGTGGTGCTTTCTGAGATTGCTAAAAGATAGTGGGGTGGAGAAGGGACATAGCTCAATAGAGGAGCATTCGTTCTGCATGCAATGATCCCATGTTCATCTCCAGGGAGGTCTGGAAATGTTACCTATCTGAAATGTTAGGGAGCCACTACCAGTCACTGGGGGCAATACTGAACGAGATGGACTCGTGATCTGACTCCTATGTTCCTACAACACTGCTGCAGTCCCAGTTACCATTGTCTGCAGGCAAGAGAAGAAGATACACAGAAAGAAATTGTGTAAAATATGTGTGTGCCGGTAGGAGATACATGCAGATTCATAAAGACAAAGGATGGAACTACAACTACATGCAAGCAAACAGGCAATGATTATTTTGAAGCCATCCACTGGTTAATTTGATAAGTTGATTTAGTGGTCAAAGCAGGTTTCCCATGCTAATATAAGAGTTTCCTCTTATATTAGCTAGAAACAGAAAGAAAGAAAGAAAGAAAGAAAGAAAGAAAGAAAGAAAGAAAGAAAGAAAGAAAGAAAGAAAGAAAGAAATCCCACTCTTACCTGATCCAAGAGAGCAAGTCGGCAGACGTAAGCTCTTTCTGTGTGCAAAAGCTCATTGGCAATATTGTAACATTTCTGTTCATTTGTCTCCTGGAAATGCAGACAATTTTCAGAATGAAGAAATTGCAATATAATTACTGAATTTTTGCTGCAATTGCAGCTTTTGCATTTATCAAACAAGGGTTCTCTCCCCCTTCAAGTCGTAGAAAATTGGGAGGACCAAAGTGTGAGAAACTAAGAGCCTCTGCCTCCAAATTGGTAAACTAAAGACGGCTGCATTGGCTTAAATATAATGAGGAGCCTTCAAAATTCTTCTAATTATTGCACTTTCTATGAATACTTTTTCTTTCAAGCACATTAGATGCAATGTTGGGTGTGCTGCTGTATCCTGCTTTCAAGCATTAAGACAGGAGTGGCTAATCAATGGCCTTACAGATGTCGCTAGACTATAGCTCCCACAATCCACTGGCCAGCCTAGTTTTGGCTGATGAAGTTGTGGTACAACATATTGTACTCCAGCCCTTCCTTAAGGGCTCAGCACATGGTCCTTGGCTGTGAATCCAGGAAGGCCTGCTTCCTGCCTTGCAGGCCTTTCCCCACCTGGCCTGGGAGGGTGGGGCCCTGACTTAACTGAGGCTACTGAACAGATTCTTGGGTTGGGGAATTGTTTAGGTGTTTTTTGGAGGGGGGTGTTGCTGCTGTATTCGATATTAACTTTTTGTATCTTCATTTTAGATCTTATTATGAGTCATGTGGAAATTGTTTAATTCGGTTGTGATTTTTTTCCTATGTTTTATTTGTTGTTTATGACTTCTTTTGTTATGTTTGTAATTACAGTGGTGCCTCGCAAGACGAAATTAATCCGTTCCGCGAGTCTCTTCGTCTTGCGGTTTTTTCGTCTTGCGAAGCACGGCTATTAGCGGCTTAGCGGCTATTAGCGGCTTAGCGGCTATTAACGGCTTAGTGGCTTTAACAAAAAGGAAACAAACTCGCAAGAACTCGCAAGACGTTTCGTCTTGCGAAGCAAGCCCATAGGGAAATTCGTCTTGCGGAACGACTCAAAAAACGGAAAACCCTTTCGTCTAGCGAGTTTTTCGTCTTGCGAGGCATTCGTCTTGCGGGGCACCACTGTATGTATTTTTTCATGTTGTAAACAGCCTTGAGCATGGTTTTAACTATGGAAAGATGGCATACAAATAAAATTATGTACGTACATATGTATGTATGTATGTACTCTGCTGTGCAAGGAAACTACCAGTTGAGTAAGATTACAGTGGTACCTCAGGTTACATATGCTCCAGGTTACATATGCTTCAGGTTACAGACTCCGCTAACCCAGAAATAGTGCTTCAGGTTAAGAACTTTGCTTCAGGATGAGAACAGAAATCGTGCTCCGGCGGTGCGGCAGCAGCAGGAGGCCCCATTAGCTAAAGTAGTGCTTCAGGTTAAGAACAGTTTCAGGTTAAGTACGGACCTCCGGAACGAATTAAGTACTTAACCCGAGGTACCACTGTATGAGATTCCAGAGCACATAGGTTTAAATAACACTGCAGGGTAGGATATTTAAAAGTCATGAATTCTGTTTTTTCTTTCTTTCTACACAAGTTATGTAACACTTTAATTGCGAGGTGGTCTATCGGAAAAACAGTCTTCTCTGAACTCTCCCTAATTCAAATAGTGCCTTAAAAATAATGGCTTGTTGTGTAAGGAAACTTTTAAAAAGGGAACAATCAAGTGAAAGCAGAACATTAAGTCTAAAATTAGTCCTGGCATTTCACTAAACAAAAAAACAGGGAGCATGGATTCTATATGCAGAACACTGGAAGAGGGGTCATCGGGGATACATTTCAGGCAGGAAAAAACACAATAAGGGAGTGAAGCCAGCCAGTGAGAGATGCTGCCTAGGAAGAGTCCAGATACTACAGGGCTGCATTCCCCCCCCCCAAAAAAAATTGTGAGGTTCTAGTTCTTTCCAAAGCGCTCTTCCCTATGTTTCTAGTCCATTTTGAAATCTGGATTTGATTGATCTGCAACTGGCCAGGAACTCAAGAGTGCTGACCAGGATTAGGGAACGCTCAACTCCAAGGAGAAGCCCACCTTATTATGATTTTATTTTTTTTAATCCTCCATACAAATCACAGCAGGATATCACAGCATGGAATAATGAATATCACAGCAGCTGCCATTCTTCTGCTTTACTCTTTTTGTATTACAGAATGTCCAAACACTCCTTGCTGCTTACGTCTGCTGGGTGCCCTTTACCCATTGTAGCCCCTCTGAGGGAGACCATGGGTGTGTCATTTCCCAGTGCGCTGAGAATTCCAGGGAAAGGACCCATAGGAATGACCCTGTCCATAAGGTCACAGTCTACTAAACAAAATGTTACAGCTGAACTACGGCAATAACCCACAGAAAAACTGCTCCCACTGGGGTGTTACAACATGTAAAGGCCACATATCATAACATTAGTTCATCATCCAGAAGGTGAGAAGGCTCACACTGAACGGCTTCCTTCCGTTACCTTCTCCAGGTGTGTGCCAATTTACTTCCTGTATGTTCTTGTACTACCACCCTGCTGTCTCTGCCTTTTCCTGTAAATTACTGTCAACACCCTTTCCATAACTGGGATGTCCTTCCTGCAATCGTTGGCATTTGGCTCGTTTTACTAACGAGGACACTCATAAAGAGGAAAAGAACTGTTCCAGCTATTCTGCTGAATGTAAAAGCCCTGCAGTGTCCGAGGCCACACTGTGTAGACTAAAGTGTCCACACAATCAGGAAGTCTGTGTTCAGAGCCAGAACCTTCCTTTGCAGGAAAGCCCTCCAGGCAATCTCCCTCAACAGCTTCCATATCCAAGAGATACCACTGGTATTGCCTCTCTGATCTACATCTAAAATATTGATTCCTTCACAGCTTTTGCCTTGTATAAATAGAATGTGGTCTCCAACAGAAACTGACAAAAGATACATAGATTTTGTGTTGGTGTGTGTATATTGTATCTATGTTAAAAAGGGGAAGATACTTAAAATTTCAGTCGTTTGAAGGCAGTCTAGTTAAGTGTATTGTTGAATTTCTTCGTTCCTATGGTATACTGTTCGTGCTGTAGAGTGGTCTAAAAAGCATTAGGGATACAGCTATCAGATTTGAATGCAAATACAAATGGTCTGTATGGCCTTCAGAGGCCTATATATTTCAATAATGCAGAAGGTACATTTTGTTTTTATAGCCTACATTTCTTTATAAACTGCTTGCCTTACCTTTGTCTCCACATGCGAGTCTTGCTTATTGTGCTCCTCAATCTGCTTGTTCTTTGTATTGGTAATCATTTCTACACTTTCTTTTCCCGATGGAAACAACGTGTTCACACTTGGAGTCTGGCAACAGCTATTGATTGTTTGCCCTTTGCAGGCTGCTGTAGTTTGCAATGCGTCTGTACTAATGTTCTCTCGTTCTCCATTTACCAAGCTGCTGTCAAATGATGCATTTTGAATGGCCCTACTCGCATTATGAACCGGCAATGTGCTGTCCCTGCAGTCCAACTGGTTCTGTGCTACTTCTCCATTGGCTGTGCGATTCTGTACATCCTGAGAGTGATCTGTACTATATCCCTGCTTCTGTAGTGGGTGTTGGGTGAGGAATTTTGGCTGAGGTGCTGGTGCTGGCCCATGCTTTCCTTGAGATTTAGCAACATTTAGAACAGAGGATTCTTTCTTCAGCTCACTAGGAATGGATGGGCTAAAGGGAATAAAAGAGAGCGAAAACTAATTCATATTACATGAACAATTTATGGGAATAGAACACCCTTCCTATCCTCTTTGCAAAAAACAAAAAAGCAGTATCAGTAGAGCAACGTTAAACAAAGTTGAGTCAAAAATTTGCACAGAGAATGGTGAGCATCGTTTCAGAGGCCAAGAATGGCTACAATCCTATTCACGCTTACTTAGGACTTGCTTGGTAAAACATGTGGCTAAACCCCATTGAAGTCAACATACTACAGTCAGTGCTGTTTGCTGCTTACTAAGGCGTACATCACATGCGTTTTTTAAGACTGGGTGCAGCCAAAGCAAACACAAAGTGGCAGGGATTTCCACAACTAATAAAGGTAAAGTTGAGAGAATCTGCGTCCACTGCTCTTCTCCCAGCCAACTGATTCCCCATATCAGAGCTCAGGTTGGAGAAAATGAAATTGGGAATGAAGTCAAGCACCATCCCACCCTCTACTTTGCTACATCACACAAATATATGACTATTAAAAACACAACATTCTTCGACATGAAATGCAGCCTTACTGCACTTCTTCCCACTGTGTACTTCAATGTTTCATTGCTACCTACATTAAACAAACATCAATAGATCTTGCTGAGAGCACTGAATTATTTTTCTTGGCTTTTTCTCTATGGATTATTAGGAACACATTGAAAAAGAACACGAAGCCTTGCATTGTTTACTCTGTCAGGCAGTGACTCTCCAAAGTCTCAAGCCGATGTCTTTCCCAGCCCCTGTTACCTAACCCTTTTAATGGGAGAGGACGAGGATTGAACCTTGAACCTTCTGCATACAAAGTGTGTGCTCTTCCACGGTGCACTGGCCTCTCCCCATATAAGTGTCTGTTTACCTTACATTGTTATTCTGTATTTTTTCATCAGGGTCAGAAATTGGAGAGGTGGGGTGAAGGGAGACGATAGTTACAGAACAAACATCATAAAGTCTACTTTTTCAAATTCAGGGTTAGAGAAGCAGATGTTGCTCAACTACAACTCACATCAACCCTGATCACTGGCCGTGATAGCTGGGACTGATGGGAGTTGGAGTTCAACAGCACCTGGAGCACCGAAGTTTCCTAGCCCTACATTACACAAACTGCCAATGTAGCAATGCCCCAACCTTTGCCCTAATGTTTGCCCAAGCTTTGTTATTTTCTTTTAGCATGTGTTTTCACCATTCCTCCAAACTCCACTTTATTTATTCCATTGCGATTGTTCAGAGTGAGAGTATATGACCGCTGATGTTCTATTCCCCACCTTTTCGAACATGTAAACCATTTTGAAGTGATCATTGTGAAAGGATCATCTTTCCATCAAAGTATTTTGAGTGTTATCTCTTCCCACACCAGCCATGTTCCCTCTCCTTGCACCTGGGCTCACTCCCTCACTGCAGCTCTCTTCCTTGAAATCCTACCACCTCGCATAAAAGCCCACGCTCACCTCTCATTTTTCCTGCTTCAACATACCACTTTAGCTGGACTTTTTAAAAAAGTGAAATGTTTTTGCTGTGTACTCTGGCAGCTCCCTGAACACTTCTATGCTTTGCTTTCTTCCTTGGTTCATTTTTAGCACCTGGTGCATCCACTCAAAGATTATCCACCAAGGTGCATAATCTACCTCTCTTCTTTTTTTAGCATAACCTAGCAACACTCCATACTTCAGAACAGAGCCCACCTCCACAGGTACACCATCTTCTTCTCACAGCCAGCTTTTTTGTGTGTGGCATGCATAAGGCACAGTCGCTGGTACCTGCAGCCATTCTGCTCCAAGCAAGCCAGTACCTGGATGGGAGACCACCTGGGAAGCTTGGATGCTGCAGGTAAGGCATGTCACCTTTTTATCCCCAGCTAACTGCCTAAGCAAGCTGTCTGGGGATAAAATGGCTTAGAAGCTAAGAGTCCAAAGGGCTACTGGTCCTGTTGGGAGGATACTGGTCCGAATGACTCATATTCACACTAGTTTTAAGGACTGTAACTTTAAGAACTGGTGCCTGGGAGTGGATTCCCAGTAAAATTTAAAAGTCTATTCTGGGTTATTGAAGTAGTATATTATAAAAGCAATTCTGTTATAGTTACTTTTTGAATACTTTTTTTTACACTAGTTTACAAACTAAGATTTACAATCTGATACAAATCATACTGCATCCTGTTTCTGAATCTTTCTATAATAATATACAGTGGTACCTCGGTTTACGAACTTAATCCGTTCCGGAAGTCCATTCTTAAACCGAAACTGTTCTTAAGCCAAGGCGCACTTGCCCTAATGAGGCCTCCCGCTGCCGGTGCCCTTCCACCGTTCGGCTTACATTCTTAGACCAAGGTAAAGTTCACAAACTGGGACACTACTTCCGGCTTTGCGGAGTTCGTAAACCGAATCGTTCGTAAACAGGGCTGTTCTTAAACCGAGGTACCACTGTACAGTAAACACACAACTGATGCACATTTAACTTGTGCGCATTCAGCTTTACGAGCTTGACAAAAAATTATATATAAAGGGGGCGGGCATCCAGGGGGAAAGACTTTGGCAATTGCACCTTCCACCGCACCCAATGTGTTTTGACTATACACAATTTTGGCGTTAGGCGCAATCCTCAGAACATAACCCACATCTAAGTTGTGAAATCCCTCTTCACAAATATTGGTAACTGTTCTGGTATTTTAAATATGGTTATGGGTGCCATAACTGAAACCGTGTTGTTTATATAATAATCAATCCTCATTGTCATGGGAAATCAAATCTGGATAACTGTTCGAGTGTGAGTGTTTAATGGAGCAGAAGCATGAGTAATAGCAGCCAAGTGTGGTGGCATGGTGGACGGAATCAGAGTGAGTGACAGATGGATAGCGTGGAGAAAGACTGTAAGAGAGTTAGACTGCCCTATCTAAAGGAACGGAATGCAAGCCTTTGACATCCACAACCAATATATAGACCCATTTATTTGACTAGCAAGAAGATACCTGGTGTGCAGAATGAACAAGTTGGCTCAATATAAAGGAGAGACAAAGGAATAATATATAACCTTAAGAAACGTATCAGCTTCCCAATTTTGCATTTCACTAGAACACAACCATCCATCTATGCTATAAAAGTGGAGCACACACCAGTTCCTCATTCACTGTCACTTATGCTTCTTTTAATCTGTACCCTTTTGAATAAAAATGAAACAAACTTGTTTACCTGCCTCCTTCAAAATGACTGATGAGATCAGACACTTTACTAGTTTTTTCTTTAGATACGCAAGAAGAGGTAGGTGTAACTTCCTCCATTCTTGGCTTCGTAGAATGTAAAGCTTTATGCCTGGGGGTTTGGTGGGCAATGGATGACTGTGAATTCTGCAGATGTAATGGCTTTGGAGGCACTGTGAAGAAAAAGGAACATACTATACTGTATTTTGCATTTGGAGGCATTTCATATATCAAAGCTGTTCAACACTGTGACTCCCGGAAAGGCCTATGGGATTCTTAAAACCCTTTCCAAAACCACCAGATTTCCCGGTTTTTTTATTTTCAGGAAAGTTCTGCTATTATTATAAACACTGCTATTATTATAAACACAAAAACTGTACTCTGTACACCCTGCCTTAACTCTACTCTTTTCAGTGCCTGCCCAGATATGTAGAAGGTTTACATGTGTTTTAATACATTTTTAGCTGGTCACTGATTTTAATTATTATTTAAATGTTTTTAATAGCTCTTTTTACTGGTAATTTTATTGTTTCATTCTTTCTGTAAACCGGTTTGTGGGTGTTTTTGTTGTTTTATATAATCAAGTGATATATAAATTATATGAAAATAAATAAATACAGGCAACTCCCCACTTGTGCATGATCAGCACGTGCGCTCCCATTGACACACATGCTGTTTTCAGCACCGAAAGGGGACAGGGTGGAACAGGGGGATCCCAGTGATGCATGGGGTGGCCAGGAACAGAACCCCCGTACAATTGGGGAGACACATGTAAATAAATCCTGTACTCTGTCTATTCTCTCTCTCTCTCTCTCTCTCTCTCTCTCTCTCACACACACACACACACACAAACACACACACACAAACTACATCTTCTTAGGTACTTAAGCAAGATCTGCCTCATGTCCAGCCTCCACAACTTCATGAAGAGATGTATAACTAATGACCACAGCAGCAAGGCAAATTCACAAAGCCCACAGATGATTTGATACTGTAAAATAATGTTCTGGAACTTCCTACAGCTAAAGCAGCTCCAGGTTTTTGCGAGCAAGAGGTCATCGATGGACCCTCTTTGGCCCCTCCTCTTCTAGCCACAACTCTTTCCTCTTTGACTTCTCTGCCTTTGTACTAAGATGTGCCTTGTCCAACAATTTCTTTCAAAATTATCTCAATGCCATGTACAAAACTCTCCCTGGCCTGCAATCCAAAATTCGCCATAGAGCAACTCCTTCTGTACATAGTACATAGGCTTGCATAAGGCGATGCGAATGAATGAAGAAGACCCCACCTCAGAGCCCATCTCTGCTATGGAATGGGAACATAGGAAGCTGTCATACAAAAACCAGACCATTGGTCTATCTAGCTCAGTATTAACGACACTGATTGGCAGTGGCACTCCAGAATTTCAGGCAAAGGACATATCCAGCCCTAGCTGCAGGTGCCAGTCCACTGAACCTGGGAGTTTCTGCGTACAAGGCAGATGCTCTACAGCCTTTTCCAATTTACTAGGTGACCTTAGGAAAGCCATCCTCTCAGCCTCTGCATTCTCTCAAACATTTGCAATATGAGAATTATAATAATGGCCTTACAGGACTGTTGCAAGGATAACTGAGATATATATGCAAAACACTCTAAACATTCAATAATGGCTTTATGAATACAGTACCAAGTATTTATTCAACAGCAAGGAAGAGCACTCTGCATATGCTCAGAGGTAATTTCTAGCCTAATAAGCTCTTTCCAGGGCTGAGCAATAACTCAAAACAGACCACTCCCTTTATTTTAAACCACTTTGAGGTTTTATTACAATCAAATGGTATATAAATGTAAACCTATAGTCACTACAGAAGAAAATACCATCAATGGACACATTGATGGGGCATGGATTTGAAGTTAAACACACACACCCAAGCACCAAGGCTCAAACCTGAATCAGGGAGAGGAACAAGCAAAGCATATTCCACAATCCAAGTAAGTCATGGACAAGTCTCTGTTTGTCTGTCTCTCAGTGTTAGAAACTGAGATATAAAATCTAGGAGCCAAATAGCACCTTAAATCTAGGCTATAGTCACCACAATGATATGCCTAGCTGCATTTTTGTGTGTGTGCAAGATTACGAAGCAAATGGTCTGTGGGGAAGTGCGGCACCAAAAGACACACGTCTCTTGGTGCCGCGCTGCCACATGAATTAGCTGATTTGCGGGGCAGCGCAACACCAAAAGAGGCATATCTTATGGTGCTGTGCTGCCCAACAGACCAGCTGAGTGGTGTGGCATCGCAGCCACACAAGCTAGCCAGATGGAGAAGTTAAGGGCCAAACCTGGCAACCAGGTATCTCTACTTCATCACAAAAGGCCGGCTGCCTGTCGCAAAACACAACTGGCGTCCAGCTAATTTCGAATGCTGCTGCTATCCCTCTCTCTCTTTCACACACACAGGGGGAGATAGTGCTTCTCAACACATCAGGGGTTATGGAATACAGCTTGTAGGCTACATAGGCAGCTGCCAGAAGAAGAAGAAAGGAATTTCCCAGCTGAAGCCGCTGTCTCTCTCCAGTTTATTTATTGCACTTACTGCATCACACCTTTTCTTCAAGGAGTGCAAGGTGGCATACATGGTTTTCTTCCTCCTCATTTAATCCCAACAGCAAACCTGTGAGGTGGTTAGGCTAAGAGGCAGCAATTGGCCCAGGGTTAATCAGTAAGCTTCATGGCTCAGTGGGGTTTTGAACCGTGGTCTACCAGGTCCCTGAATTCCAAACCCAATCAAAGAGTCAAAACGTTAAAATAAAAAAAACAAAACCTCAAAACTTTGGCAAGCCAAAGGTGGTCAGTCACATGCCTTGTGTGGCAATCTCTGCAAAGTACAACTATAACCTGTGAACATGGAACAAATTGGTATTTTCTGAGGACCAAGTCACCTGTAAGCTCATGAAAAAGTTTATGTATGCACACACAAACACATGCTCAGGGCTCACAATAGCTCAAGAAAATCAGTCCAGCATGGAGAGCAAATGCACAGGATGCTAAAAAATAATTGTAACAAAAATCACAATTCCCTACAAGCATCCCAGCAGGATAAAAACCAAGTGTTTCTTTCTGTAATGAAGCATCTGTAACTGACCCATCAACTCCTCCTACTCCCCATGTTAATGGAAGTCTTCTGAAAACTTAAGAAAATATTACGGAGGGACAGCCATCACCACCCTGTTTTTCTTTCAACTGTTGTAATTGCTCATTATAGCTGTTTTATCTGTCAGTGTTCTTCGAATCTGCTTTGACATCCACCTGCATGCTGTTAGAGACTGAGCTGTTTGCTACTCTGTGTTTTCTCTAGAAATGACAGGCAGATCTAGGCCAGTGAACATCAGCTAATTGCCATGAAATCGAACAGCTAGCTAACAGAGAGAGACGATAAAACGTAAGGGGGTTGGAGGAGAACTCAAAACCAGCAACATGGCTGAGAAACAAGGAGGCCACAGAACAATCCTAGGAAATAAGTCTGAATGGAAGTAGCAGCAGCTTAGATGGTGTTAATGATAACAAAGCTGTGTCATACAGAAAGCATCTTGAGCAGGGTGAAGAATGTTAAAAGCAACCTTCCATTAAGCACTTAAGAGCAGCCCTGTTGAATTATACCAAGGGCCCATCTGGTCTAGTATCCAGTTCTCATGGTGGCCAACAACTTACTTTATTTAATAAACTGTTTCACAGCCTGAAACCATTGATAAGTTCAAGATAAGATAATTTATTACGGTCAAAGACCAGTTCGTATAACACAATAATGACAGTGTTCATAAAGACAAAATATACAATTGGAGCAGATTGCAGAAGTAGCTCATGAATTAAAATTGAGATATTGTGATAGGAATTTTGAGGTCTTAGACCTAGTATCTGAAGACAGTCATCCTTGAGTAATAGCCACAAAAGGCTTTATACTCCAATAATCTGCCTGATCTTTTAAAAGCAGTCTGCACTAGTGTTCATCACTATATAAAGGTAAAGGTAAAGGTACCCCTGACAACTCTAGGATTGCGCACTCATCTCGCTCTATAGGCCGAGGGAGCCGGCGTTTGTCCGCAGACAGCTTTCGGGTCATGTAGCCAGCATGACTAAGCTGTTTCTGGTAAACCAGAGCCGCGCACGGAAACACCGTTTACCTTCCCGCCGGAGCGGGGATTTGAACCGCCGACCTTCTGATCAGCAAGCCCTAGGCTCTATGGTTTAGACCACAGCACCACCCGCGTCCCTCGATCATCACTATATATTTGCTAGCAAATTCCATAGTTTATCGATGATAACAACAACAACAACAACAACAACAACAACAACAACAATAATAATTTATTATTTGTACCCCGCCCATCTGGCTGGGTTTCCCCAGCCACTCTGGGCGGCTTCCAACAAAGATGAAAAATACACAAAAATGTCACATATTAAAAACTTCCCTGAACAGGGCTGCCTTCAGATGTCTTCTGAATGTCAGGTAGTTGTTTATCGCTTTGACATCTGATGGGAGGGTGTTCCACAGGGCAGGCGCCACTACCGAGAAGCTATATATATATAGCTTTTGTCTGTCCTGAACATTGTACCATTCAGCTTTATTAGATGACTTCAGGTTCTAGTATTTTATGGGAGAGAGAAAACTTCTAATCTATTTCATCATATACACTTCTGTCATGTCCCTCCTAACTCACTGTTTGTCTAAACAAAATTTCTGACTGAACATTTAAATATTAAACATATCCCATCCCATTGTTCCAAGAATTGTTAGAACAGATAGTACAGGACTGGGACGACCATTGCTTCGGCATTTACACGAGTCCATTATTTTGTGCCATTGTATTCCAAAACACCAAATTAATAGACATACAGCAGACTGCCTATCCTGATGTTTCTCTGTTTACATGATTATGAAAGTGCACGCTGTTCCAGGAATTTGGTTAGACAAACCATTTAGTTTTGGACCGAAAAACCCTTAAAGACTACTCTGTGTCACTTACTTTGAGGTCATGCTGAGCTGTATGCACATGTTGTTTCACCTTAGCAAACACTGTAAACACACACACTGTGCCTTGTTTTAAAGGCTAAACAAATGCTGAAATAAGTTGGCCAACAGCCACCTACGCCACCCCTAAAAACCTCTCTCTGGAGATAACATGTGATATAGGATGATTAGGCCTACACAGCTATGGACAGCTTCCCATCCATACCATCCCACATGGTTCAGAAGGGAACCATAGTGAGGCATTTTCAAGGGGCACGATTGGCTACAGAGTGAAGAAAAAAGAAGCTCTCATTCTGTGAACTTCATTCACTTATCCATGGATCCAAGCCTTAACTCTGGTAAAGAACTAGGAAACTTGCTCCAAAAATGAGGCATCTGATCAAGATCTGTATTTTAAAATGAGCTTAAAGATATATTTGCAAATGCTTGTTTGTTTCATGCCAGGCATAAAGCAGCTGGCTGAGTACTCTGGCAGTTGTTTATCTTCTTGATCAAGGGCCCCCCTGATCTATAGCAGTACCTCAGGGTTGTAAGGGGAAGTTACAGGCTGGGAGCAGAGGTCATACTGACCATACAAATTACAGAATACAATCAAGCTGCAAAAACACTAATTAAGAGTTGGTAAATAGTAAGATTTATTGTGCCTCCCATTAGACTCGAGCAATATTTTCCTAAGGTTAAAGGGCAAGAGCTAATGGGAACAGCAGCTGGCTGGGGAAAGGGGGGTTGTAAACCGAAGAGGCTTCTCTCTGAAGCTGTTTCCTTTTTACTAAGTTCCTTTTCTTCTAAAAAGCTATATATGTTAATGTATGAAATATATTGGCTTAAATGTAAGTATGCAAAGGATTTAGAAAGTAAGAAATGTTAGATTCTTATGTTAGATTCTTATTTCATTGATGGTGTGTGAGAAGGTGAACCCAAGATCTCTGTTACCATGAGCCATCTGTTTTGGAGTGAATAGCGCAATAGGGCAAAGATGATCTGGTAATTAAGGTGCCTTGTCGAGGCAAATGTAAGATATATGGCTACTTGTCTGCCATTTATGGATAGAAGGAAATATAGCTCTTTGTCTCCCATAAAAGGTAATAGGAAATGGGTGTATCTTTTATGATTGGTTCTAGCAAACAGCCAATAGGAATTTCAACCAGGCTGATTGGACAGAGGCAGCCAGAGGAGGAGCAAGGGGGCTGGGCTGAGGAAATATAAGTGCTGGCCATCAGGGCTGGAGTGGGCAGAGCTTTGGTAACCATATACCACTGTGTCTCTCATTTATTTGTCTGACAAATAAATTATTATTTTAATTTCTCTATTGCTGCGTTGAATATTTCATTCCAGCTAAGCGTTAACCACAAGCAGGGTGCTACAAAAACTCTTGCTCTTTTCTAATGCCCTATTTGCACCCCTGGATAGCAATAACTAACATTTTCCAGGCTAAATTTATGTAGTTGTTTGCTTCAGATAGGAGCAATATAATGGTGTTTTTTTAAAAAAAAAAGTTAAAGCAAGTTTAAACATCGCACACATTTTTCCCCTGGATTTGTTTTCCCATGCTGGGTGGGGACTCAATAGTTATATAAAATGATACAATTGGTTTCCAGAGATTTAAAGCTGCTTTTCAGAAAGAAACCAAGTATCAACTAACACTCTACAAAACCAGGTCAGGGCCTGTTGTTTGTTGGCAGAACAGATCTGGAATAGCAAAGACACCCTTTGAATATTTCCCACTCCATTCAGGGCAGACCTTTGATTGAACAAACATACGGAATAAAGAAAATGCCCTAAGCTTTCCTCAATTAGCAAGTTGGAGGAATTGTCTTTACGGCAAATAGGCCAGCAGTGCCATCTGAAGATGGTTCAGAAACTTCAGCTGGTGCAGAATTCAGAGGCCAGGTTGCTCACCAGAGCAAGACAGTTTGAGCATATTACACCGATCCTGGTCTTACTGCACTGGCTACCAATTAGTTTCTGGGCCCAATTTAAAGTGCTGGTTTTGACCATCTCTTTGCATATGAACCTACCCGGACCCTGAGATCATCTTCTGAGGACCTCCTTCATGTGCCTCCTCCTTAAGAGGTCCAGAGGGTGGCAACATGTGAACGGACCAAATCAAATCAAATATCTTTAATACGGTCAATGACCAGCCGTGAACGGACTATCTCTGCAGTGGCTCCCCGTCTGTGGAATGTTCTCCCCAGGGAAGTTCGCCTGGCACCTTCATTATACACCTTTAGGCGCCAAACAAAAACGTTCCTTTTTAACCAGGCCTTTGGTTGATTTGATTGACATCCTATGCCCTTTTAAAATGTGGTGGGGGCTTGAGGGGGGCATTATTGGGTTGTTTTTATTTTGTATTTTGTGGTTTTATATTTGTATTTTATTCTGTGAACCGCCCTGAGACTTCTGGGTATAGGGCAGTATATTATTATTATTATTAGTAGTAGTAGTAGTAGTAAATAATAAATAAATGATGATGATGATGACAATGACAAGAATTGTATCCAATCCTTGCTATTTTCACCACAATGCATCCACAATCTCACAAAACCTGATCAGTTGGTGTGTGTGTGAGCGAGCCATTTTATTTGTGTCACAAAATACTGCATATTTGGTAAAGGTACTTGACTTGGTGGCCTCCGAGAGTCAACAGCTGGTCACAGATATGAGCTGCTACTGACCTTGTGGTTTTGGAATTGAAACTGGCTGTGGAGATGGCTTCTCTGGTACGATTCCATTTATTTTCTGAGCCACCTCATTGCCAATGTTTGGCTCATACAGTCTAGTTGTGCTGCTTGTCGTGCACAGTGGAGTTATGAAGATCTTTGGACATGTGCTGCCACCTGGAAGGAGAAAAGGCAACTGTGAACATGACTGAACATATGGACTTCCTTGCTAACTCATATAAGGAAGATGGGAAGAAATTCTGTTCTGTGTTAATAGCCGAGTTCAGAGTGGTTTAATCTCCTCTTACAATATGGAGCAATAACTTGGAAAACCTGGATAAGCCTAACTTCTGCATGCACTTTTAGGAGAGTGCACTTCAGTGGAATTTGAAACTATGCATGGTATTGGAGAGCCCAATGCTCAAAGAGGCTGGTGATTTCTCATTTTTACAGCAAGCTGCGAAAACGTTCAAAATTTCCAGTTGTGGCTGTAATGTGTTTGTTATAATTATGCAAGAGCAAATTAATCTCAGCTTCTACTACATCAAAAAAGTGTGTTAAAAGACAGCCTTGGGAATTGGGCTGCTAGTTTATCCTTCTGTCCACTACCTAATAGTCACATTGCCCAGTGGTTTTACAGGCCATAAGTATGATTGCCAGACAAGTCTCAATTTCCACTGATTCTGGAGACCTTTTCTTGAAGGCAACTTTCATAGTAAAAGCTCTGCATTAAGTGGCTCGGGAATGATACTCCACAGCCATGAAAATAATTAATCAGAATTGGCCATCCATAGAGGAATCATGGGATTCTTTCACAGTAAACAAGTTAAATATAAAACCCTGTTTTATATTAATTTCTCTTAACTGGTCCTTCAACATCTTACCATTGGTCATTTGGGCGAATTTTGTATCTGCTACACTTTACTCACAAATTGTATTTTTTTCTTTCTTCACAAAGTACTAACCACCGTATCAGTAATGAGAGACATTTTTCAGCATTATCTTTTTCAGCAGTAGTTTTTGAAAAGATAGGCTGTTTGCTTTGATTTAGACTTTTTACTCTTGAATAAGGGGGCGGGTGGCGCTGTGGTCTAAATCAGTGAACCTCTTGGGCTTGCCAATTGGAAGGTTGGCAGTTCAGAGTCCACATGATGGGATGAGCTCCCATCACTCCCTCCCACCTTCTGCCAACCTAGCAGTTTGAAAGCATACCAGCGTGAATAGATAAATAGGTACCGCTGTGGCGGGAAGGTAAATGGCATTTCTGTGCACTCTGCTACTCGTCATGGTGTCCCGTTGCACCAGAAGCTGTCATGCTGGCCACATGACCCAGAAAGTTGTCTGCGGACAAATGCCGGCTCCCTTGGCCTGAAAGCAAGATGAGCGCTGCACCCCATAGCTAAGTTTGACTGGACTTAACCATCCAGGGGTCCTTTCCTTTACCTTTACCCTTGAATACTTATTTCTTGATGCCCACTGCTAAAAGAATAGAATATCTTTTACAGAGTCGCTCCAGATTTTTGAATAGTTTATTGTTCTTTCCATTTGACTGGGCCATTTGACTTCAGATGGAGTTAGCATTTTAGGTCAACCTTTTGCTGCTCCATCTATGGATTTATCATCTCAACAGTATACTTTAACTACATTTAGGCATTATACAAATTTGATTTTGGTCCTGCTATTCTTGAATACTGTGTAAATATTTAATCATCTTTTATAAAACAAACAAACAAACAAATATGCTAGTAGGGCAGGCTAGTATTTTGTGTTATTTTGTTGTACTGTCCAGGAAGACCATTTGGACAGAACCATTTCCAGTTTTATATGCATTTTCATTAATTTCTTATTTTAATATTTCAGTATTTGATTCATAACTAATATTTGATATATGCCAGTGCTGGGCATATTCTGTTATGCTTAGTTGATTCACATTACATATTTTAATTTTTGTTTTAAAACTGTTTTTGTCTGAAAATGAAGCTTGTGTTGTATAAACTGGGGGAAAATATTTTGGCAAAATGCAGAAAATTCATTTGAGATTTCACCTTGTGACTTTACATAACCACAAAGTCACCAGGTCTTAGTTTGCACAATTTCAAGTATCTCAGCATTTTCTATCTCTTTAAATCTGTGCTGCCTTAAAATGCTAAAATGAGCAGAAATGTTCAAGGTTAGTACATAGAAGGCTGCATTTGTTTGCTGAGATTTAATAGACAAGGCAGAATTTATGGCACTATAGCTACCAAATAATTTAGAAGTCACCAATAAGAATTACACATCTTATTACACTATCAATAGTCACTGTAAATTCACGAGGACAATTTACAGATTTAAATACCCCCTTTGTAAACCGTTTGCACATCCTTAGCTTTGTGTATTTTCCAAGACACACCATTTTGACTACTTTAGCCAAAAACTTTCTACTGTCTCTGTTCCACCCCAGAGCTGCACATGACAATTTTCCTTAGGCTTTACACTGCAAGACAGAAAACAATTACATCAGTTCAGCTAAGGGAATGTCTTTGGCTAGATGAACAATATTAAGGAGAACTTCATTTAAAGGAAAAGTGTTCCAAAATTCTGTCAGATATTAGGAAAAATATGACACAAATGCAGCTGTAAAAACAATAGATGGGCACTGTCATGTGATGCTCTGAGAGAACAGCTGCAGAATTTGGCTACCTGTACTCAACAAGAGGCCAGCACAATATGTAGAATGAATTTCCTAACAGTGACATCAGCAAATGTGACATAGAGGACGATATGGGTTGGAACCTTAAGCTATGTTAGGCAGCAGTAGCTACTAAAAGTTAATGGACTGGAGTGTGTCATTTATAACTTAAGACACAATTTAAAAAAGAAAGCCCTTATACCAACATTAGAAAGACATGTGGAAGGAAAACGAAATGCTGAATAAACCATTGTGAGAATGGAAATCCTGCACTGATGTAGTCACAAGTAAGACACCATTGTTAATAGCTCCTTTTTGGAAAGGAAGAGAGGAAAGGATCAATTTCAGTGACAAAACTGTGGTGTACATCCTCTGTATGAATGCACTCTCTTATTTAGGGTTTGTATTTACAATGCCAATTTTGCAGTATAAGGATGGACGTTACTCCAAGTGCCACTTCCCAAACTAAAACAGTAAACCATAAACCCTTCCCTTCAGTGCTTCAAACACATTTTGCAATTTAACAGGTTTCTGCTGAAGCAACCAAACTGTATGATTGCACGTATGGATCTTCCTGTACTGTATAGGCTTGTAAATCACTCTATCTGCAGAGGACCACTTCAAACTTCAAAGCGCTCTTGTTAGAAAGTACAATTTGACGGAAAGAGATTTCTTTTGGGCATTTAGCTTTACTGAGGCCACCTCAACTAAAGTTTTTGAACTTGCTCAGGAGAGAATGTGGGGCAGGTCAAGGGAGTGCAAAGAAAGTTGAAGGATTTCCAGTGGGAAGTTAAAGTTTAATACTGAGGAACTCTGAATGCAAATCAGCAGGAACTAGTTTCCTAATGTATAATTTTTATCCCAAACACTAAGTAATAACAACAACAAAAAATTCCTTCCAGTAGCATCTTAGAGAAAAACTAAGTTTGTTATTGGTATGAGCTTTCGTGCACACTAGAAGGAATTTTTGTTTGTTTGTTTGTTTCAACTATGGCAAACCAACACAGCTGCCTACCTGTAACTAGAACTAAGTAATAAGAACAAGTTTTCCCAGAATATTCTAAATGGTGGGAAGTGAGAGAATTGTTACAAAATGTGAAACAAATTGCACTTACTTTAGAAAGTGTTGTTTCCTTCCAAATTTGCATATCAATCTTGCCACAGAAATTACCTGGGCCTCCAGTGGCAAAGATGGCTCTAGAAGTGCCCCTGAACTACCATGTACTTGTTAATTCAGAGGGAGTGCAATCTTATCCAAAATCTGTGAACTTCCCAACCCCCTGATCTAGGAACTGCTCACCTACAGAGTTTCCATCTCATCTTTGAATGGATAGCAAAGACACACAGAAGTCAACTGTTATTAAAATGCTAAATAAATAAATAAATAAATAAAGGTTTTGTTATAAAGTATGACTTCTATCTGCAGAAAAATTATAATTAACCTTTAACTGATTCGGAAAAGTGAGATGGTTTGAGATGATAAAAAGGTTACTATTAAAAGGGTCAGTCTTTAAACTTCTAGTATGTGTGTGAGCTTCCTGTGGCATCCTGTTTCTAAAAATACTGACCTAGTGGCTTTACTCGATTTCCTCACAATAAAGAGCATTTGCTTTCTTCATTCTTGAAATGTTTTTTTTTTAAATATACTTGTTAAATATATAAATTAGTTGACTATGTGCACAATCTTTAATGCATGATCTTTAGTATGTAGTACTGGAAATTTATGTAATAATTCAATGGAATTTAACAACCCTGAACTATGATCCCCATCCTATGGCTCCTATTTCTTCTGAAGGAGGAGTGCCTGGAATTCAATCTCAGTCACATAACTATTTTTGGCTGGTGTTTTTCTACAGAAGAATCATGGTAGTTAATTTTAAACATGAATGTTAGCCCTAAAGCTGAATAGCGAATTCATTTTCTGGTTTGGTTAAAGAGCAAGGTCCAGGAATGCTTTAATAACAGAGCAGCAATTTCACTGTACTTATGTGACAATCTCTTTATGCAGTATTGCTTATTTCACAGCACACTTGCCAAGCTTAACAGCCACTAGCTTATACAATACAGAAGGAAAATGAACAGCCAGTCCTTCTTGCGTGTTCACATGAAGAATCTACCTGGATGTCTCATCAACACTCCTGCACTTCCTGTTTCTGCCTTGAAAATAATAATATTTTTTATTATTTACACCCTGTCCATCTGGCTGGGTTTCCCAGTTCCCTTGATTGAGATGGATGGATGGATGGATGGATGGATGGATGGATGGATTTCTATACTTCTTAATATATTAAAAATATCTTTAAGCAGTGTGCAGAAAACTGAAGCAACAACAAACAACTTAAATAGAATATTACAAAAATGCACAGTTACACCTTCCCTATCCCCCACAAAAGTATAGACTTGGTTTTTATGGGCAGGCCCAAAGTAGACAGTACTTCCTCAGGCTGTCTACAGTTCCAGGTACAGCAGGTTTGTTGAGTTTCCCAGGGGGTCCAAAGAATGGGAA